TTTTTTTTTTTTTTTTTTTTTTCTCTTGGAGCGACGAACATTTTGGCTTTTCTACAAGGTGCTATGTAATATTTGTGTCCCTTTAATTATTTAAGTGTATGTAGTAGTGCATGGTAGTCAGAAATTTTTTACCATTTTTTTTTTCTTAGTATGAAAATTCGCACTGGAAAAACAAAATCTCGTTCGACGTTACTCGAGCGAGCGGATGTCGTTTAGAAATTGCACTCAGTGTGAATTTATATAAATTTCGAAAGACTAGATTTAGGTTTAAAAAAAAAAGAAAGACAATTTTAGCCCTTAATTTTATTAATCTAATTTATTGTTACTCCTTAGAAATGGACTTTTATGATTAAAGAAGACATTCCGTATATTCCAAACTGATTTTTATTATACGTTCATTTTTATCGAAAATCTGAAGTGACATTGATGACTTTTGTGTAATGATTTCTCATGCATTTCTCCTTCTTTTATATCGCAATTCCCTATTTGTAACTACTGTACTACCTTTTGGTAACTATTCACCATTAACCATCGACAAAATATTATTTATTCACTATTATTACAACTTTTCGTAGACACGTGTCCTCCTCTCATTTTGTCACTTCGGAACGAATTCTTAGTGTTTAGTAGCGTCTTAGACTGGTTGGCCGCACTGTAGCCTGTACAGTATAGATATATATTTTTTTTAAGTACCTAGAGATTGATTTTATATTGGTGTACCTATTGTATTTAAAAAAAAAAAGAACTTGGTGCTTTTCGATAGCAACAATAAACGTGCAATGCAACAACACACTACTGCTTGCTTTATTATTTATTAACCCCTCACTATCTTTTCTTCCTTTTATCTAACACGGTACTGCGCTTCGGTTTTTATTCTTCAATCACATTTTTGGGTGGATACCTCGTATGAAGATATGCCTTTGTTTTGTATCTCTGACCGTAGTGTATATCCTGCATGAAACTGAAATTTGATAAATAAACAAAATATTAATTGCTATAAGAAGAAATGTAGAAAAATTTGTCAGCTGAATAAATATATCGCCTATTATAATGTACAATTAATAAGAATCCAAATTTTATACCAAAGGTGACTAATTAATACGACTTAAGGCTTTTCGCACACGTAAAAAAGCAAAATTGTCATCTTTTTTACGTATGCAATAATTATCGTTAATATGACCAATCAATGATTGACTGACACTCTTGTCTGCTCTCCATATGATTGTTCAATAGCACTGGTAGAAGCACCAATGACTCATGTTCTTTTTTTGTTGCAACAGCACAAACTAAAAAGAGGAAAAAACAACCACGTCCATTGTACAGCATCGAGTACTCTCAGCCAGAGCCACCAATTCAGGATGACAGCGTCTCACCGAAACCGATGACACCTCGACGTGTCAAGCGACGCTCCGTCATATCTCGGGACGGCACAAGACGCTCCAGCAGAAGAAGTTCGGTGCGGCAATCTCGTAGGAAGAATCCAGTAAACAGGATAATGGACCAGCAGGAAAGCCTCTACGCGAATACGCCACCTAGCAATTTGACAAATCAAAACGTCAACTCGCTGTCACAGGGTACAATTAATTACGACAGGATCTCAAATACCTGGGACAGGGACAGAAATTCAAATTGGCAGCCGGAGGCTGTCAACATGGCGGTATCTTCGCCGGTTGTATGGAATCAAGACTCTAATTACTCAAACACAAGCAATTTCTCTACTCAAAATTTACCCAATTGGGATGGTAGCAGCTCTACCAGGAATCTCACTGACAACTGGCAGAACAACGAATTGAATCCTATGCAGTGGCAGGGTCAGAGTAATCCTACTTTTCAACGAACCAGCACTCAGAGTCTCAATGGGGAAGATATGGATGATCTTTATAGTAACAGACCAGCAAGTGCCAGGTCAAGTTACAGCAATTATCATGGCGTCAGGGCGACACCTCAGGTCCCAAGTAGAACCGACATTGTTCGTCAGAGCCAAAAACAATTTGTACTCAGTGGACCTCCTGCTTATCAGGATACAGTGATCTGACTTTTGGGTCTGGTGTCAGGCTTGTACTGCGTTTAGAATTAGTAGCAGGATTTTTGTACGTTACCGAGCTAGAACTGTGCGTGAAAGAGTATTGTGATTTGGTGGCTAATTCACACACCGCAATCTTTGCTCAACGGCTCGTTTACTTAGAAGGGAATGAAAATATACATTTTTCATATCTTCATTTCAGTAACTTTTCGACTGTTCTTGTAAGACACTGTTAACTTTAGATGTATCTTGCCTCTTTGGTACGCCTCGCTGACACGCCACCATTTTCTGGTGTCAAGAATAACAATTTGTGATTCGTGTTGAACGATTAATTTTTTTTTACTGTTTAGAAAAACAATCTCATCATAATCTAACGCATTCACCATCGCCGACAATGTTAAACGCGTATTTATATATTTTTCATTGTAACGCTGCAATCTCTGTTACGCACTTAATCAAAAGCTAGCATTATACCGAATCTTATCTGTACATAGCCAAAAATTACGCAGCAGTCGCCATTCTTAACCCTTAGAAGACTGGAAGTCAATTTTTCGACTCTACATCGGTCTCATATTTTTTCTACAGTATCGCTTTAGCATATGTATTAAAGTTAAAAGTCAATAACTGTAGAAGTCGTTTAAAAAATCCGCTCGTCTAAGGGTTAAGGACTCATTTCTTTTTTTATCGTTAACTACATACAGATGACAATTACCATCATCATTATCATTCACTGAGATGATTTATTCATTCACATTACATTCAGTGATACTTTGTCAAATATTCCTCACATTTTTTGTTCGCCTTTTTATTTTAAATCTAGAACAATCAAATACACACAAATTTCGATTTGATATATGCAATTTGTACTTGATATACATTATACATATATATATATATTTACACTACAGTCTTCCAATTCGATTGTGCGTTGCCTATTAAAGGCAGCCGAAATTTTTACTGGTACACGAATGCTTGTAATAATTGTGACACAATGATATATGCAATCGTATCTACATACGGCGTGCAATAATTGTATGGAATGGATTTTTGTATTTGTAGATCTCTTGGACGAGTTCCGCGACTTATAAAAATTGTACGTATTACATACGTATCTTCGAACTAGATCATTAGGTATCTCAAGAAGCGAGATTAAGCAGAAAAATCATGAATCAATAAATAATATCAATAACGGAGAGAAAGACGTAAGAACCAAAGTATTAAGTAGCAGTGAAAGTAGGCTAGAAGCTAGCATAGTTATAGCAGTCCTTATTAATCAGTTATCATAATTTGTACAAGTTAGTATAGCGACTACAATAATTTGTCGTGGGCAAATAAGCAGGATAGCTATTACGTTAAGCAAATAATTGTTTAGAGGTTATGTAAAAACTGGGTACGTACTTAAACGAGTAATGGATGTCTAATTTATTGGATGCAGAAAGATCACATGTATCAAGATCAATGATACGAGTTGTTTGCGTTAATAAGTCTGGAACACGTACGTCTCTGGATAATTTATTTTTTAGGTAATAATATACTCCGCTAAATATTCATATTGACTACCTGATTATTCAGTTAAATGCAGTTGAATATATTGATTAAGCAGTTACATCAGGTGCACGTGCTACTGAAAAATGCACTGCTCCCTGCAGCAATGCACAAAATAATAAGGCATTGATTGTTTACGTTCTTGTAAGCAATTATTCATTTTTGATATATTGTTCGATGTATCGTCCGGCAAGAAATGCAAGACAATAAAAAAAAAAAATACGAAACAAACAATTTTATTTGTCGAATTAATATTTCTGATTAATAATCGAACTGGTAAATTGACTGACTCGTTCGGTTTACGTGTTAAATATTTTATTGGCAAATCGTCTATTACTTTACCGGAACTTTTTCTGTATGATGTTTGTAGATTAATTGGACAAGGAACTCCCTCTCTTATTTGTCATATCGTTCAACCAATTTTACGAGCTCAGTGTCAAGATCTTTTAGGTAATTGGATGAATTTTATCTGGAGAAAATCTAATCTAAATTTTTTTAACTGTTTGATTCCTCACACGTGCCGCTATTACCAAGATTACCGGTGTCATTTATATCAGACTAATGATAGTATAATAATTTATAGTTCATAGCCAGACGGTTTTTTCTTAACTTACTAAATAATTTCGCCAAGTCCACAAGTCAGTCGATTAATAAATTGATCGTTCAAGGAAACAGGTTACCAAATTCGCGCATGTCCCTGAATTAGTTCGGCCTGTTTCTATAGGTAGGGCTGCCTCGACGTACGGGCACAGTAAGCTTCTAGGCGTCGGGACGCTCGGCGTCTGTGTCTCTACTTGTCAGTGTGAGTGGGAGTGTGTCTGGGCCGGATAAGTATATAACGACTTTTGTCAATATATTACAGTGTTACTTTTTTGTGATTAGTACGAAATTGAACGAGTCAATTATTTATCGAACAGAATTATGCATATAAAAATGATAACACGTGGTGTCAAGATATTGAAGATCGTTAAGGCGGACATTAAAGGATTACGTATGCTCCATACCAATAACCAGGTATAGGGTAAACCCAGTAGTAAATGAACACCTTAGGAAACGCATCTAGCGAATGGACTCTTTTTAAAATCACTATATATAATTCATGTAAACGTGTCCATTTACTGGGGCCTATCCATTCACTGGTGAAATTACCCTATAATTTTTTTTAAATAATTTTTTTGCAATTTGTGGATATTCGAAATTTTATTCACATATCCAAGAGTCTCTTCGTTTTACTGAACGACCTTTTCCCACTTTTTAACCCCTGAGTGTCTCTGACGCATATATCGACAAATCTAAAACTGGCCAGGTGTGTCACATGTCGATATATGCACAAGGTGAAAAAAAAAAGATATTTCATCAATTTCGTTTTTTACAAAACTTCACGTTTTAAGGATTTTGAGATCAGTTCATTCAAATCTTATCTGAGATTTTCAAAGTTCTATATGGCGTATGCAATGAGGTTAAGAATGACAAAACTTATCGAATTTTGAGGAAAATTAAAGTTTTAAGGTCTTTGAGGTTATTCAGTATAATTTCTGACAATTAAATAATTTTGTTATATGCAACAGCAAAGTAAAACACGACTCCCTAAAAATCCTTGTTATTGATTCTACTTACTGGATCCACCAGATTATTTTTTCTTAATTAGATAAATTAACATGCAATTAGACACTGACCCACCCCAATATAGAATGAACCGATATTCTCGAACGGTACTGAAAAGATTATTGCTCCACTTGCTCAACTTTCATTTATTTGACAAAATTTACAGTGCATACGTTTACACTGTTATCAGCTGCAAGAATTATATCTAAATATGAAAATTTTATTATTCGCTAAAAAAAAACAAATTTCACACAAGTCCCATATCATCCCTAGAGTATCACTTTAGCACCTAAGCACATACATTATTCCAAGTCAAAAACTGTAAAAATTGTTAATAAATACGTCCTTCCTTAAAAAATTAATATTCACACATCTTTATTTGCAATTTTTGAAATCTCCTAGAAGATACCAGAGCAATACAACTTATACGCCTTACGACGACACGTAAAGCGACTAATTGACTTGGGCAAAGAACCCACGTGTGCAGCATGGCAATGACCGGATTACAGTGACAGAAATACTCTGCCACACTGATTGTCTCGGCACAAGGTAAAAATGGCTCTTTCGCTATACTTCAAAACGAACACGAGCCCATAAATCCAAAGATTTACACCCTTCGACCAATCGTATTTACAATTTTTCACAAGGGCATCGATCATTAATTTTTTTTTTCATTTTTGGCTAAAGTTTTTTTTTAAACTCCTAAACTATTTCAATGATCTCTTCAGTGCACATTCAAGTACACGAAAGGTTTCGGCTTAAAGCTACAAGGAGGACCTATTGAAGGGACGATCAATACGGAAACGGTTGGCAACGAATACTTCACAGACTGCTTTTGAATTGCGAAAATAAGAGACTCTTGTGATAAGATGAATGGGATAGGCAGAATACGAGGCTGATGAAACTTTACTTTTTTTTTTATTAATGATTCATAGAAATGGACGATCGTACCTAACAACGTGAAATTGCGAACAACTACGTATTTGGAAGCGGCTTTTGGATGTGCCTTGGAATTAGAACATTCGCACGTACGGTACTGAGAATTATATATATTATATATATTAAATAAAATTAATCAAAATACATATAATCACGGATTAAGACTTTTTTTGGTATTAAAAAAATCTCGTGATTTTTTCACTTATTTTTTAACAGTCCAATATATCATCGCAGCTTATGTGAATGACGTAAGACGTTGCAATTTTTAAATTAATACATTTCTTCGAAATTATAGGAAATTTAATTGATTTATGTGACTACAAGTTATACGCAGCTATCTTTGTACTATACTTACTTATGTCTTACGTGCATCAAAATTATCGAAACATTAACGTCACCTGTTGCTAGCTGGATAAATATCCTAAAAGTTCTCTACTAATCAAATCTATAAAGAATGATATTTCAAAAATATTTTTTCCTAGAATTTACCTTTAATTTAATGAAAAAAATTCGTTTATTATTTATGCAATAGGTGTAAGTAATATTATTGCAAATAGTAGCACGTGGTGCTGTTAATTCACAATCAACATGTTTCTCGAACGTTTAACGCGTCTACCAAGTGACAGCTGTCACTCGTATACACACGTACCATGGTAATTTGCAATTTCAGCAAAGTGTAAATTATTCGACCACACAAGACCAACGCGATGCTTATTGGTTAATTTATGGCAACAATCTATTTATAGTTTGAAAAAGATTTTGAGCTGGCCGTATAATCGATGATCCTGTGAACTACAGTAGCCAATGGGTACTATCAGTCTGCCCAGCACGACTGTTATCAATTTAATCTTGATTGTAAATCCTTCGAGATGCGCACTATTATTTTATTAGGGTTAATCAATCGAAAAATCAATAACCATCCATGTCAATACCAATTTAAAACTATTCACTGGTATGACACGTGGATCTGACAGCTGTCATCTCTAATGTTTACGTTTAATTTCGAAATACTGTCAGATAATTGATTTGCACATTTTTTATAGTATTTATTTATATTTTATTTTTTCTTCTTAATTTCGTTAAAAAAAAAATATTTTATAGCAGATGCTTCACTGTATTAGGCCCTGATTACGTTAGACTAATATTAGATAGTTATCAGTTTATATTTACTTGATGATTAAAATATAGGTATGATGGACCACACGCGAATCACGTGCTAAAATATACATACGTAAACGAGATCAGATAACAAATTGATATCGATCTATTCCAATATGGAGTCTCCGTCACAATATCCAGTTATCGTAACTGGTAGCAATCTTTCTATAGTAATATTATAGGGTTAGTAGGGTCATGGCTTTTTGATTAAATAGCCTCGTATAAAACGCCAATTACGAGTGGATCGTACGTCTATTATTTAAAGAGTACATTTATAAAGCGTCGCGACGCTTCGCTTCGTCCGGAAGACCATGGAAAATTTTGAGTTAAATGATTATTATTTTGAGGATGATACGGATAGCCCCTACGTCTCCGTTGAATCAAATCGGTGAGGTATAGTAAATTTCTTGTGGGATTTAAAAAAGAAATTGTTATATTTATCTATTTAATCGGGTGGATGAATTTTGATAAATCTATTAAAAAATAGCTCAGGACGTTTTTTTCACGTTTCGACGCCATTGCTTATAAATATTGTGCTAACTCGTCAGGTCCAACGTAGTATGAACGCACATTGTTCATAAATATATACTCAAGGAATTTATGCCTATTTAGAACTCTCGTAGGGAAGAGGGGGGTCGACGTGTTTCTAGGTTATATAAGATGACAGTGATGATAGAAATTTTGCTTAGAATCTTAACAAGTCGCTAAAGTGTCCGTGAGTGTTTAGTCGAAATTTATTGAAAGTTGCAATAATCGTGAGAGAAAGATATATTGAAAATAAATAAATACACTGTGCATCATAGGGACAATGCATCATCGGTTCCTGCAAACATTATCACGATTCCCTTGGCTGTTCGCAAACGAGTAATTTGTTTGAATAATTGGAAAAAAAAAGATCGAAAATTTTGTCCTTGTGGACGTAAATTTTGTATACTCGTCCCTTGAGAAATATATTTTAATATTCTTCGTAATGTCTACTACCGCCAATTTGGAAAATAAAACTGGAATCAAATCTGACAAATTCGTGAGACTTCTTGCGCGATTTCTAAGGTAACACCGGCTTTGCTTATCCTTCAGTGTCTAACTGGAGATTCTTCTCTAATTTTTTACAGCGAGTACAGCTTCATTCATGACAGCCACTACGTGTAGTGAGTACCATGCGATAATATTGCATGGAGCACGTGGTAGTGTTTAGCGCTAATTAAATTACATTATTAATTAGTGTAGAGCTAAAATCTAATTATTAGTACGTATCTAATTGTTAGAAATAATTATTGATCATAAATATTCACGTGTTAAAATCTTAAGTAGTTTGTGACTTTGCTGGTATTCAACGTATATTCTGTGCGCATGATGATTTGCTTATGGTGAATTTTGAAAAAAATTATTATCGATATTTAATCTGGCGACAATATCAGGCTATCACGATATTTCAATTACCTATAGGTTAACCGTTTTGATTCCTTAAAGAAAATGTACTTTCATTACTCAAAATTACGTTTGGCTGGTAGATTGTCGGTTATGTTATCAAGAGAGGTGCAATTAATTCGGTACTTAAATATGAAATAACTTTTTATAATGTTAAATAAGAGATAAGAGTTAATGAATGTTTGTTTTGTCCATTTATGAGTTAGAAATTAAGTGTACACGTTTATTGTGCTGTAAATGTATAAATTGTCAATATAATATATTTATTTGTGCATATGTAATTTCTGGTTAACAGAAAAAAATTATTTCTGTATACTCTTTAGTTTTGTTAGTATAATCATTGTAATTTCTTGCTTCGTAGTTGTACAAAGATAAAAGTAATTGTAGCAAATTTAATAGAAATGTATATCCTGGATATTTTTCAGTGCCAGGGATCAAGATCAAGTGCGAAATGCCGAAGACGTCCTGTTTGATATGTTCAAAAATGAAGAGACGGGTTTATTATCAGTGGGCAAATTTTTGGCGGTAATTATAAATTTTGCACAATGTCCTTCACGATCTTTGTACGCGTCTAGAATTTTTATTTTTATTCTCAAGGCATTACGGACGACAGGACTAAAAAGAAATGATCCTCGACTTAAAGAACTAAGTGATAATTTGAAAAAGGAACATTTGAAGACTGGTGGACACGAGAGTATTTCTCACGAAACACAAAAATTGGACAGAGAACAATTTAGAAGGCACGTAAATAATTTTTTCTTACACTAAATTTATATACAATTTATTCTTATTGAACCTTTATTACAGAATTATCAGCCCAAACATTGTTCTGATATCGAGAGCGTTCAGGCATCAATTTATAATTCCAGACTGGGCTGGATTCACAAAACACATTGAAGATTTCTATTGGACATGCAAATCTAACACCGAAGGCAAAGTTGCATCATATATACCACAATTAGCTCGTATGAATCCTGAATATTGGGGAGTTTCTGTTTGTACAATTGATGGACAAAGATTTAGCATTGGTGACACATCGATACCTTTCACAATGCAAAGCTGCAGCAAACCTTTGACCTACGCAATTGCACTGGAAAGATTAGGACAAGAAACTGTGCATCAGTATGTTGGCCAAGAACCCTCAGGACGCAACTTCAATGAACTCGTATTGGATTACAACAGTGAGTATTTAAAAAAAGAGGAAATATTATTTACAGATGATTAATCATAATTTTTGTCTATCAGAAAAACCTCATAATCCCATGATCAATGCTGGAGCCATATTGATTTCCTCTTTATTGAAAACTCTGATAAAACCTGAAATGACGCTGGCTGAAAAGTTTGACTATATTATGAATTATTTCAAGCGCTTGGCCGGAGGTGAATATTTGGGATTTAACAATGCTGTTTTCTTATCTGAACGAGAGGCTGCTGACAGAAATTATGCACTTGGATTTTATATGAGAGAACACAAATGTTATCCTGAGAAAACAAATCTTAGGGAAATTATGGATTTTTACTTCCAGGTATGATAAAGCATTTAAAGTGTAATCAAAGAACTCTTTCCAATGATTCTAATAAAATTGCAGTGCTGTGCCATGGAGGCTAATTGCGAATCCATGTCTGTAATAGCTGCCACTTTGGCAAATGGAGGAATTTGTCCTATTACTGAAGAAAAAGTTCTCAAACCCGACAGTGTTAGAGATGTCCTAAGTCTAATGCACAGTTGTGGAATGTATGATTATAGTGGACAATTTGCATTCAAAGTATGTAAATGACATCTTTAGACTCAAAGAATTCTAATAAGTATTACATTAACTTTTTATTATTCAACAGGTTGGTATACCAGCGAAATCTGGTGTTTCTGGAAGTCTCTTAGTTGTCATTCCAAATGTAATGGGAATTTGTACCTGGTCACCGCCACTAGATCCTCTTGGAAATTCTTGCAGAGGTGTACAATTCTGCGAGGAACTCGTGACAGAATTTAATTTCCACAGGTTAGATGTTTCGATGAATATTATCTTCGCAGCATAAAATTCTCGTAGAGCTTCTCACAATTGTACTTTTATGAATATTCAAAAGTTCAATCAGATGCAGAAATCAGAAACAATACATTAGCAATTGCTGGCTTACGCTTGAAAGATAAACTTATATTATTTTTTTCCTCTGCCTTACGTACACACTTCATCCGGTGTTCTAATACGCATGAGGACCTCTTTACTTCAAACTGACCATTCCAATTATTTGATTTACACGCCAAATTCATACGATCCTTTCCTTGAACAAACGAACCCTCATTATTTTCATATTATCCCGATTGAATTCTTGCATGTCTCCATTCTATTCCCATTGTACTACCTGTTCCTATTAGTGTAGCACCTACTATGATCACAGGTACGATAATCTCAAGTATGCGACCAACAAAAAGGATCCAAGGAGACACAAATTCGAGACTAAAGGACTGTCAATTGTCAATCTACTGTTCAGCGCTGCCAGTGGCGACGTCACAGCAATGAGAAGGTAACTAACGTCATTGAACCGCCTAGTTTCATTGCGAAAACGATTTAAATATTTTTTTCTTAATTCCAAATTCTCTCTCGACCACAAGATCTTTCTAAACAACCTTGAAACGTTCTTTATTTTCTCTACCGTCTATTCTCTCGTCCTAAAGCACAATTCATTGTTGCTCTCTAAAATGACGCAACTGTAAGACCTTACAACGGCCTCGAGTTTCAAATGTAAAATGCAAATTAAATAATGTTTTGGACAAACAATAGATAATTTATCTGTTGCTTTTCCTGATATGTCGCTGGTTAACAATGCTGACACTTTGAAACCACTTTTAAACTACACGCACCCACGTACACACATGCAGTATGCAAGAGTGCCTAAAATGGTGAGTCGCATAAATGCTTTACGAGAGAAAGTAATTGGTATGCAAATTTTTTTGGAAGTTTGCTTAAAACCATTCTTTCCTTGTTTCAAGCTTATTCGTAATAGCATCTTAAATATATTTGCAATGATCTTACAATCCCTTACACTATCTAAAGTGTAACGAGTACATACAAACATCAATAACGTATCTATACAAAATCTACAATGTATATTCATATCTTAGTAGTAAAGATGCAATTTCCAATAATTTTTTTTCTTAAACTGCAAATAGCATAACTTATTCATACAAAAACCCAGAATACACCACCCAATCCTCATTACACTCACTTGACTCGATTTCGCAGATAGCAATGAATTATTTACCGAACGGTTGGGCTAATGTAAATCGACGTGATTACGTGTTAAATAAAAGAAACAGGCATTCAGTAGATTTCACAATGGCGAAGCAATTTGATTAAACTGCACGAAAATAAAGTGACAAATATTTGAATTTTACAGGCATCGTTTAAGTGGCATGGATATGAAACTGTCAGATTACGATGGCAGAACGGCTTTGCATTTGGCAGCAAGTGAAGGTCACTTGGACTGTGTGGAATTTCTTATAGAACAATGTGGCGTACCGCATGATCCAAAGGACAGGTATGAATTAATTATTTTATTTATTTGAGGTTAAATGATAATTATATTTTTTATTTGGTACCCAGGTGGGGAAATTTACCTATTGACGAAGCTGAGACTTTTGGTCACACTCAGGTTGTCGAGTACCTGAAAAATTATGCAGTTGCATATCAGTCGGAACAGGAGAATAAGAAAAGTGGATCGAGCGACACGGAAAGCGTTTCCTCTGGAAAGGTCTCTGACCCATCTGATAATTCGCCATTAACGTGAATCATATAATTTGAGTTTATTGCGAGAATCCTTGCTTAAAAAAATCCATTAAAATCAATAGAGATATTTAGGTATCCTATTTGATTACAATCGAAGGCATTTGTATTCCGATTGAAAATTATTCGGAATGAATAGGATATCATGCCCAGTGTGACTTTATTAGTGATTATCCAATTAACAAAAAATTTTTAATTAATAGAAATCTCATTCATTCTCAAAAATAATTATTTTTAAGATTTAATAGGAAATTTCAGATGCATAAATTTGATTTCTTCCCAGCAATTATTGTCAATCGGTTTTAATTGAATTTTTAAAGCAGGGACGAGAAAAAGAGAGAATGTGTGATAGATGGTCAAAAATTATACGACTGTGTTACGAAAAATTATTGAAGGATCATTCGTGTTTAGAAAAATATTTGAAATTTTCAAAACTAAACATTTTTTCCCGGCATATAGTTTTGAAATAATCCAATTGCAAAATCTAACTACAAGTTTTACTTTTAGTTATGAAATATGTATTCTAACGTGAATTCCGAAAATTAGAGCGTCTTTAATTGATCTTGAATAATTCTCAAGGATTTTGTGCTATGACTCATTCGCGCGAGGTCTTAGACATATACATATATCTTACTGGATAGAAACTTCCGAGCACGGTGCCATTGTTCTTTTCTCTATTATTTTTTTTTTAAATTAATTTAAAAAGTTAAAATTTAGGTCAATTTAGTGAAATACTTTTTGCGGCATAGATAAGATAATAAATTATTTCAATGACCTATTCGTATTGTTATATCTATAGTTAGAATTTTTGAAAATGCGACTAGTTGGAGTCGCGGTTAAATATTTTTTCCAACGATTTCAAAAAGACAATAATCTTATTATCAAAGGGCTATAGAATACTATACAAAGGACGATAAACTTATCACCTGAAGTTAAGTTTGTTCATTTGATTTTTATGATAAAACCATCTATAGGTGGTACATTTTTCGTGAATAACCCTATATATGTATGTGTATATCGAAACCACTGGGAATGAATGAATTTTTTTTCTATTTATCCGTCGAATCGTAGCGATGAAAAAGGGATACCATAAATAAAAAAAATTGTTATTGAATACTCATATGTATATTAAATATCGCTACGTCTTATGTTCCTAGAGAGAATTTTCGTATAATAGAAAATTAATATCCTTAAAAACTCTTATATAGATTCAGTATTAAAGTTTTCGACTTAAGTCACTTTTACTTATATCTCTACAGTTTACATTGATCGTCGATGCATTCTAATATTTATAATTAACATTGATTACACAATCGCTTATCTATTAAGTCAAACTTACTGTTAAGCAATTTCAGAATATTCATACTGCGTGGCAAGAATAAATCTGTATAAAAATAGTTTAACTAAAAAAACAGTCAATCGTATGTCCACGCACGTATGTAATATACCATATATCTGTAAAATAAAAATTGGAAAATATTTAAGCATCCTTTGCGTAATAATTGCAAGAAACCGCCAAGAATTATTATTACTGCATAAAAGCGATATAAAAGAGTTAACTGCGTCTTGACTTTGACCTATGGGAAAATTATCAGACAATTATTCGAGAATAGCTTATAAAACTTGATTGGAATAAGCGAACCGTATCGTTGTGTGTGTTGGTACTTTATACAGATACTAAAAAAAAAAGACAAACGTTGAGATATTGGAGAAAATGATAAGTGAAAACAAGAATTCCTGTAACTATAAAACTCGACATAAAACCATGACGTAGCGTCGAATTGCCATCATCGCTCGAAGAAAATGTTGAACTGACAAATATTGACGTACATAAACAGAATAACAAATGATTTTATATTAAAATAAATTAATAATACTTTTAAAAAACACGTAAGGTGGTCCAAACATTCCAATTCGAAGATTTTCAAATATTGAAGAATAATCGTGCAACTATTCCCGGATTAATCAAACAAAAGTCAAAACAATATTTCCCCACGTTCTTTCCCGACTTCATTCCTATCCGACTACTCGTCAATTATATACACGAGAATCCGTTTTCATGAAGTTGACGTCAGTTGTCACGATGTCACATTATCCCACAGCGGAAGAATCTAGTAACTACTTATTTGCACATACTATATGTGTCTACTCGCATGCAAACTCATATTACGTATACGTAGTATCTTTACCTAGCTACATGCCGAACATACCATGTCGTATATACATATACAGGTTACTAGACAGCTCAAACATACTACCTGAAACTGGCTTTACCATAGAGGTCAAATAACGAGCTAACTTCAGCTGGTATCTTTGAGCCATATATATATATATACTGCCTGTCAATGTTCAAAACTCTAAAAGAGACTTGTTAACAAGAAAATGAATTTCGCTAGACATTTCCTTCCGTAAGCTATACCAACATGTAAACCATTAAAATGACTCACGTAGTCTGTTGTCAAAGGGTATGAAAGGTAAAGTAAAATTCAAGGTGACGATACATTTTAATTAATTTTCCTTTCCAAGTCCAAGAAAAAATTGAGATAATTTAATAAAATCTTAACTGTGTCCCAACGACTCGGCAGAACAGATATTTTTGTGGGATATGGGTATATTACGTAATTTCCATATGCGATGGAATTCACAGAACGTTTAAGAGAGCTATATACGAGTGATTATTTTAAGACGTTAAATTTTCTCGATTTATGCGAATGTTCCTGGGATATCGTAAAGGGGATTCCCAGTATGAATGTTCGGGGAGTCCCCGCGGCTAAAACTTTGGTATGCTGATATGATAATAGATCATGATTATCCACGTGTGATCGTGATTAACATGATTTCAAGTTCTTTTTGATTCTCCATACAATACATAGTTATATTATCCATAATATTTTTGATATATATATACACGGTTATAATTAATGTATACGTCACTGTAAATGCCTCTACAAAATTCTTATCCGTGTAACGTAGTACATGAGCTAACAAGTTTTGTACGTATTAGGAACTGATTAAAATACTAGAAAGAGCCGGTAGTGTTAACACGTTCTCTTAACGGTATAGTCAATAGAAAAAGGGTTAGTAAATTTCTTGAAATGCCATCCATTGGCGTAGTGTGATTTTTCATATAACCAATATGGTCTTTGATACGATGAACTTATTAGTAAAAATGTACTAATACGATAAAACGATGCTTTCCCAATGATCGATCATATGTGGTCACGGAGTGGGCGGCTCAATAAAAATCTTTGTCAACGGCGACAGTGGTTGAACTTGACCTTAAAAAAACAGGAACGTCTGGTAGTCAATGATGTCGCAAACAACGTACGTTCTTGGTGGCAACAGGAGAGCCTCGAAAGATTCACAGTATACAGGTCTTTTCAATTACGTAATTTTGTATGATATATGTGTATGCATATACAGGTATATATGATTTCTTAGAATGAATTTCCGAGTGGGACCTTTGTGCAATTGGTACCATCACTTTCGTCGTCCTTGGATGAAAAAAAAAATTAATTTGTATAAATAAATTTGACTGTTAACAATATTGAATTTTATCTTAATATTAATCAAATTCGTAATTGGTATTATTCTAACCTTGGTTCCATTCTGGGCTAACAGGATTCGTAATTGTAATTATCTCAGTTGGACGAGAAGAGGATGTGACTTTGTCCTCATTAAAGAATTCATTGAGTGCTCGTGTGAAATGAAAAAAAAATATTTCGAGCGGGACTCATTGGTTTTTCCATAATGATTGATTTCACTGTTTTCCCGCAGAACACGAGTCCATCGGTTACACACGTTATCTCGCATCTTACATACCGATTTCCTAGACGCGAATACAATGGGCGATGACTTTATAGTTTGTGGGGAGTGGACGAATGTGGGTTTTGAAATGCGAAGGACAATTATACGTGTATATATATATATATATATATCACAACGTAAGAAATCTTCAGAACCGGATATAACGAATTAGTAATAAAAAATAATTTGAAAATTTTAATCTAACGATTTCAGTGTAAAATCCAATTTTCCAATTAAAAATAATGTGGATCACGTTCAATTTGATGGTTATACATTAAATCAGTGAACTACATGAAAGTTTAAAATATCAACCTGATGTCAAACATTACGCAATCAATTATTTTTTTTTTCGATCATGAAGGAAATAAAAAAATATTTTCAAAAATTTCTAATGCCTCCATCTTTTTCGGAAAATCCATTTGTCAAGTTCGCGACTCCGTGTAAAAGCCCACGAGTGATTCAGGATCAAATGAGAGTAGGGTAACTCGAGGAATCGCCAGAGTGCGAAGGACAGTTCTGGCTCGACCAACGAACGAGGACCCGATCGTATATAAGATCTTGTCTCATCGTAGAGCTTCAGTCTTACTTGACTGTTCAAAGATTAATAATCGATGTAGTATAAGATTTGAAACCAGAGAGTAAAATAGTAATCACAAAGAAGTATAGATAAACGTGTGTTTATGATGAGATCAGTTAAGTGCAAAGTGGTGCCACTAGTGGTACTGTTAGTGATAAGTGGATCATCAGCTAGACCTGGTAATTATTTTAAAATTTAAAAAAATATTCGGTATCCGTACCAATATTTATTTTGAGAAAAAAAAACATTTTTCGTGTATAAGTGATTTTTTAGGAGGTTAGTGATTTTTTGAATAATTATTGTGTAGGGCTTCTGCTTGGACATCTAGCTGAAAACGCTGGAAGATTGTTGGACCCCCTTGGCCTTTTTCATCGGGAATCCGGAAGTCATGCATCTGCTAATAGCAAGAATTTGGGCACGAGTTTCAATTTAGGTCCCATAGGATTTTCTACCAGTTTATCCAGCTCTCAGGCATCTGCCAATTCGAATGGTGGTTCGGCGTCAGCATCTGCTAATTCTAATGCAGCTGCGAAGACTGGTAATTACGGTGGATACGGAAGTGCTAATTCAAATGCTGAAGCTTCTGCAAATGCTGGTGGTCAGGGTGAGTTTTATAAAAATTTTGAAACAGTCTGTATGTGTGATTTTGTGGATGCAATTTTTATGAGTGAATTTTTCATACAGGACACAGCGGTGCCAATGCTAACTCTCAAGCGCAGTCTTCGGCGTATGGTGCTGCTGGAGGATATGCACATTCTAATGCGAATGCTAATGCTAACGCAAATGTCAATATTGAATCACTTTATGGAAATAATTTCGGCTCTTCACTTTATGGTGAACCTTCAGGAAACGGTGGTTTTCAATCCAGTGCTAATGCTAATGCAAACGCAAATGCCAATTCTGGTGCTAATGCTGGAGTGATTGGAGGATCCCAGTATCCTTCTGCACCTGCACCTGCAATTCCAAGTGGTGTTTATGGAGGATCTCAATCGAATGCCAATGCCAATGCCATTGCCAATGCTAATTCTGGTGCTAATGCTGGAGTGATTGGAGGATCCCAGTATCCTTCTGCACCTGCACCTGCAATTCCAAGTGGTGTTTATGGAGGATCTCAATCGAATGCCAATGCCGAATCTAGTGTAATAGGAGGAGTAAATTCTGTTCCTGGTCAATATCCAAGTCGTCCATCCAACGTCCCTGGACCAGTTCATGGATCTTATGGTGATTTTTATGGTCACGGAGGTCATAAACATTATGGCCACCAGCATCCTCATAAGATGGCTGTCCCAGTAATCCTTGTCGAAGGTCCACCACCACGTCCATCGTATCCGATATATGCTGAACCTCCTCCCCCACCTCATCCTAGACCTATGGTGCAAAGACCAGTTGAAATTGTTATTGTTGAACAACCTGTGCCAGTTCAACCTATTCAAACTGTACAACCCGTTCACATTCAACCTATCCAGCCGGTTCACATTCAGACCGTTCAACAACCTCAAGGCATGAATCGTTCATTGATAAAATTAAATTTGCTGTATAGATATAATAATTTATTAGTAGATTTTCAATAATATTGCATTTGTTATTTCAGGCGATTATGCTGGTAACAGTGGTTCTTATGGATCGTCCAATGCCAACGCCAACGCAAATGCAAATGCAAATGCTGGTGCATCGGGATCTGTTCCATCCATTACAGCTCCAGCACCTTCGCAAGGATCATACCATGCAAATCCTTTTTTGAACGGCGCCTTATCATCAGCTAACGCAAACGCAGATGCTAGTGCAGGAGCTCAAGGATCTTCTGGATCTGCTGGAAATTCTTTCTCAGGTGGATCTGGATCTGGAGTTAATGGCGGAAGTTATGGTGGATCAAGTGCAAATGCAAACGCAAATGCAAATGCGAACGCAGGAGCTCAAGGTGGTGTCACTGGTGATAATCTTTTCCTAGGATCATCCTCAGGAGTTCCCGCAGGACCCAGTGGTAGTGCCCCTGGAAATCCTTTCTTGCAAGGATCCGGTTCCCAGGCGACTGCCAACGCTAACGCAGCAGCTCAGTCTACTTCCGGAAGTCAAAATCCTTTCCTTAGCGGAGCATCCTCACCAGGAGGATATGCAGGATCACAAGGCGGAAGTGGTTCACAAGCCAGCGCAAATGCTAACGCTAATGCCAATGCTGGGTCTACCGGAAGCGGAGTATACGGAGGATCCACAGGAACAAATTACAACCAAGGCCAAACTTCCACAGTACTTGGAGGACAAAATCAAATTCCCGCATTAATTCCTGCACCTGTTGCACCTTCAACCGGAAGTTTATCCCAAGCAAGCTCCAATGCCGCTGCTACCGCCGGAAGTTCCTCAAATGGTGCGGGAAACGGAGGTGGATACGGTTCATCGAATTCTCTCGCATCATCATCAGCTAACGCAGGTGCTTCCGGTTCCTCAACAAATGCCATTTCCAGTTCGAAATCATCATCCTTCGCCGGAGGTGCACAATCCTCTGCCAGTAGTTCCAGCAAAGCTTCAGCCGGATCTTACGGTGGATTTGCTAATGCTAATGCCAATGCACAAGCTTCTAGTCAAGTCACTTCCGGCGGATTTGGACCCGCTTTTGCCTCGAAGAGTTCTGCCGGAAGTCAGGCCTCCGCAGATACCCGCGATATGCTCATCTTCAGCAATTAATTTATGATAGACTTTAAGAATTCTTAATAATCCATCCTTAGATTCTCAGGTATCCATTCGGTCGGATGTCGCTCATAATACTCCAGACGTTCACGATTTGCCTGCATTTTCTAAAATATTCTCTCTCGTGTCATCTTTCGAAAGAAAAAAAGACAAAAAGATGGAGGTAAATATTGAAATACAAAATTAAAGAATGGGAATCGTTCGTGCAGTACATTAAAATATTTATTCATGGACATTTTCATTAGATGATACAGACAAAGACGTCCGTGGGAAGCTGTGTGATTTTTTTTAATTTATATCCAATTAGTGGTAATTACTTTTGTATCGATCATTATCCTACTAGGAATTTCCGTCTTCTAATTGACTCCTCTGCCACGAGCATTTATTCGTCTCTAAATGTGGCACAAATTATGTAATATATTATTACGAATAAGCTCATGCTACATCATCGTTACACTTTAATAAGAGTTTTAAATAAAATATAATATTATTTTTGACATGGCTTCTTTTAAGATCAATTTTTTTTCTTGCTCCTGTATATATAGATATACGTCTCGTAAGACCGCATTCTATCACGGCCATTTCGTATTCATTAGCTTCGAGCGCTTTTCGCAATTTGTCTGAGAATCGACTAAGGACTTTTATACATAATTTAGCATATACCACCGGTTAAATTATTATAATAAATTCTACCATGAGGTGACATAACGGTATGATAAAGAACAATAAATTATTCTTAAAACGTTATTGAGAATTTACCACGGAATTCAGACTTGAACTATGATACGCTAATGGAATAAAAATTCCTTAAAACATGTACAGAAATTTTTTTTCGATATTAATATTAATATACCGCTTTTGAGAATGTATGATTAATGCTAAAAATTAGCACATAACCAAAACATCAATTTCCTTTGAATACCTCTATTTATATACCTAAGAACGATATATTTGTATTTTTCAATTAAACGATGCTTAAATCAATTACATTATCTGCTATATACATATATTATCGTAGTACTACAAATTATTGTAGGTTTTTTATAATTAAATTATATATCATTTTCAAAGGGTCGCTGTAATAATAGTATTGTGTTATAGTTATTAAATTCAATTTAAAAAAAACGGCTAGAATGCGTAATATAAGATCCATTAAATCAGTATTACCAATACCTGGAAAATATATTACTGTGGCATTCTTATTGACAATAGGAAAGCATTAATAGGCCCCTTGGTCACGTGGTATAGTCTGTATAAAAATTCCGATAATTCTTTATCCATTTCAAATCCTATAAGTACTCCCGTCTAAAGCAAAGACACCCCCATAACAAAACAGACCACAGTCCAGTTGCATTGGGACTTTCGGAAAATTCACTTGAGAATGAAGTGCATAGTGATCATGGCTGTATTAGTCATGGGGGCCATGGCATTACCGCCTTTGCCACACAGTGCGAACAAGTTAAGAGAAGGTGAGTGTATTTTTGTGAATTTTGAAAAAATCAAAAATCTTTTTTATTTACTTGAACTTTTTGTAAAATTAAAGTTGGCATGTATACTCGTATTTTTTTTTGTTAGACTGTATTATTTTGTATAAATTTTGTTGTTGTGAAATATTAATTTTAGGATACAGATCCGAAGCCTTTGTGAATTTTGTCAAAAAGTTGGATAGAAGCAAACGACAAATTTTTGGTTTTAATAACGGTCCAGAATATGACGACTATCCGTCGTAAGTATTTTTAAATGTGAATAATAATAAATTATTATCAAAATATTCTTCAATATATGTGTGAAAAATTATATCTAGTAAACAAGTTTCATTGTTTCTCAATAATTGTACGTATAATAGCATACAGGTTCTGTGAATCATATATCCTGTTATAGGTAAATACGTTCTCTTTGGCTATCTTGTGACATAATACCTCAGGCTATCAATTGCTAATTAGCATTGTAATTTTGAAACTACATGTTATGACACGGAGAAACTTTTTATCGATAACATATTTGTTAAACGTCCGTAATATATTTTTCATAGTTTCGAAGAAAATTTTTCTTTGCCTGTTTCATTCAATTTATTTTGAAATCGCAGTTTCGGCAGGCCCTTTGGTCATCGTCAATTTGGATTAGGTAATCCATATCAAGGTGGTCTCGGATTTGACAGGGATGAATCCTATTCCGATGCACACAGCTACAATATTGGAGTGAATTTGCCTTTTGGTAGTATTGGTCTTTCAGCAAGCGACGCGCATGCTCACAGTGATCATTTTGGATTACATGGTAAAAAATAATTGGAAAAAGTCAAACTGAAATATAATTATTTCAATAATTAATTAAAGTCTGTATAACTGATAGATTATAAGATAGTTCATACAGATTCACTTTGGAGAGACAATAGACTGAATAATTACTAAAATTTTTATTATGTTTGGTCTTTATCATTAAGTCTAGATCAAAATAATTTGTACAACAATATAGTAAAGAATATATATATATATGAATTGTCATACAAAATTTTTGCATGAATCTGTAAAATATCCATTATTTACTTAATAACCCATAATTTAATGGAAATTAATATTTCCAATATTTTTATATACTCGTTTACCTATAATTTGTAAAAAATGTGATTGAGCAGTTATAATAACGCAGTGTAAAATGCAATTAATTATTAGCAAAGTTGTTATCCTCAAATTGACATTTCCTGCAAAAACCCACGCAAATGATCCTTTCCGGTTTTGACATTCAATAAAACTGTCAGTAGACAATATCCAGTCTGACAGGTTTACCATTGGCAAAGTCATTCCTCAAGAACATCAATAGTGATTATGCTAATTCGAAGGACATTTCCGGAATAGTGAATTTGGCAAAAAAAAAATTGGCGAGTATAGTTCATCGTCCTACTATTTTAAACCACAATGACTAATCATTAAGACGACCAATTAGCGCTTAACTTTCAGTTATGAAAGTTCCACAGTAAGATGCGCTCTTTCCGGTCGTCCCTGGACCGGAAGGTCATCTACTTCTTTCGACCAATCGGAATTAACTAAGAGTCATTTACTCCGATCACTTCCTTTATTCACGAACCACACGAAATCATTTCCTCACACTTTGAAAAAATACTTGAAGCAATTAACTATAAAAGCTGTAGACCTGGTCAAACGACGTTATTCTAAATCAGAGCGTTGGAGTGAAGAGATCATTTAGGGTCTAGAATATAATTTTTGAAATCATTTCGAAATGACTTTTCACATTAGGTATATCGTATTGACTGCGTGTATTTTTATCATTGAAAAATCATTAGCCAAACCGACTCTAGTACAAAGTGTAAAAGTTGGCAATGTACCGGATCCTGTATCTCAACCGGTATCAGTGGATGCTGCACAGGATGCAGAGAGTGCAGGTATATAATTAATACGAAAAAAAAGTAAAAATACAAAAAAATCTTAATTAACGTATAAAATAAATAAAAATCATCTCTAGATTCCGTGAGAAGTCAACGTTCTCCGCAATTTGGATTCCAAGATGATTACGATGACAGTTCCGACTATTTCAATGATTCTGAAGCTCGGCATTTCAAACACGGTCACAAGCACAAACACAGACCACACCATAGGCCTCATCACGGTGGACACGGCTGCCGTAAACATCACGGCTGTGACGGAGGGTAAGTAATAAAAATGAAAAAAATTTCAAAATTAATAAAATACAAAAAAATTTTTGAAAAATTTTCTCCCATCCAAAGATGGCAACCGCACTATGAAGTCGTTCACCAAGGAGGTCATCAAGGACATGAAGTAGGACATGAAATTGGTCACGGAGGTGGACATGAATTTGGACACGGAGGTGGACATGGATCATTCGCCACAGCTTCCGCAGGATCATTAGGCGTCGGTGACCATCATGGACCACAAAGTCAGTCCCACGCTCAAAGTGCAAGTTTTAGCGTGGGACCTTACACGGCAAGTTTTAGTTCTGCTCACGCGTCCTCTGGGGGTCCTGGAGGATTTGAAGGGTGCGTATAAAAAATTTGTTTAAAATCAAAATCTCATCCCACACCAAGTAAGGAACATCGAATCCCCGTACAGGCTTAAAGTTGTCGAACTCCTCCGGTTTGGCTGGTATTTTTTCTTTTGTTCTTATTTTCTTGGTAGTGCCAATCCTGTTTCTTCGCATGCGGAATCCTGTGAGTTTACATGGAAAGATCACGAACTAGTCGAGGGTACCAAAATGAATCACGGGTCCATGTGGGACGGTGGCGGGGGTGGGGGGGAGTCACTTGACAGATGCTGGAACATCTATATACAGATGCATTCAATATGTTGATAGTAGACTTACATTTATAGTATATAAATATTCATATATACAATTGTAAGTCCTTATATATATATAAGGGTATTTTTATATCTATATATCGATGAACACGTATATGCCCACTGTGCAGGCCAAGGGGTGTCGTAATGCTGGCGGCCATTGTGTCAGCGAATGCACAATGCTTTTGTACGTGTGAAACGGAAGGGACAAAGGAAAAATGAATCTTCTTGGTTCTCAGGCGATTTGCAGGCGGCCAGACAGACGGGATAACTCGTTTTAAAGGGATCTCAGACCGGACACCGAGTAGTCGGTTGTTGGTTCGCGAGGATCCAAAGAAACTTGCCGAGACGACTGGTCTCATTGTGCATTTTTTTTAGTTCGTATCGGGTACTCGTTAATTTCGGGTTGAAAACGACACTTTAGAAATTTTATGCTTAGACTGAGAATAATAATTTTTGGAAATCGTGAAAGTTATGATTTTAGACTTGGAGGAATGATGGAAGATTTTTAAGGTTTTCTTTTTATTTGTTACAGACTTGACTATTGAGCAGCGGACTGATCGAATTTAAATTATATTAATTACGTCATTGTTATTTATTATCGTTGATAGTTTAATGAAATTGGAATAAAGCCCTATTTTATAGAAAAATAATGAACCTGCTGTGAAATTTTGTTCTTCGATGTACCGTCCCTTTGTTCGCCATCTCAGCCACCAGATGTTCCCAAAAACAAGAAGAGCTCGATTCTGGCGACGCATGAGAGTCGAGGATTAACAGCACAAAGAGAAATTAAAAAAGGGACGTAAAAAAGCAAAAACATGAAATCGAGATACGAAAAGCCTCGTGCAATGACCGTAGAATCTGAACACGCAATCTTTGCAGTGCCGTACAAGTAAATTTTTTAAGGTCCGTGTTACAGGGAAGACGTAGCAAATAATTTTTGAGTAGAGGGTGAAAATTTAATTTTTTTATTATAAAATTCGATATTTCGAATTTTATAATATTGTATCTCGATGGCTTCGTCGGATATGTTAATTCTAATTCCCAAGGGTTGCAAAGCTTTTGTCACAAAAAACTCGATCGTGGACAAAATCAGATTTTTGGATTCTCAATCGTATGGCTACGAATGTTAGTCTGCAGTTTTTTTAAAAAAATACACTTTTTGAAAATAAATCTAACAGTTCGAAATGATAAATGAAAAATCTTTTGTGAACCAAGTATTTTTTATTCTACGGACGTTACTGGATAAATACGATCCAGCCAGCCGGTAAACCAGTTCCGAATAAAAAAATGAAATAGAAAGTGGTTTGTCCGGTGCAACTGCCTACAGTTTCTGACGTTTTAAAGCACACTGCGGGAACCTGGTGTTCCTGTTCTTCGCGAAGTATAGTAAGTGCATAACCTCTCTCAGAGGTGCCTTCGTCATTCTGCCCGCATTTCTCGTGCGGTTGTCGACTCGGAAAGTGTCTTCGGGATATACTCGGTAAGCGGAACCATATGTTGGGCATAAGAGCTGAGAACGAAATTCAAAGATTATCGGAACGGGAGATACCTGTAGCTGATAAAAAAATCGGAATATACAAAAAATAAAAATTTTATATCTCAATTTTTCGTACTTTATTTTGAGCTTACTAAAAATAAAATTACACTTCGCAGACATTTTGACTCTTTTTTTTTCACAGTTGTTCGTTCCTATTGCGAATACACGCGTATACTTTCGTAAATGGCGAGTGATGAGATTGCATAATTAAGTTCAAGTCGATGACCCGTAAAAAGCATAATTATTGATTCACTGGAAAAATTATTTTTTCATTATTCTCAGCACGATTCTTTGTGACGTTATACTCGGTACGGGCACAAAGTCTTTCTTGACTTTTTTTCTCTTAAGGTTACGGTTAGTCGTACAAGTGTCTCTTGGGAAGGTAGAACGTAACGAAGCAGCTGATAACGTTTGACTTTACAGGAAAAGGAACAAATTCAAATTTTTGGATCGTAAACAGAATATACGATCCATTTTGCGATGGCAAAACTTTTGGTACTTTTGGTCATCGCTCTGGTCTGCGTTATCGTTAACGGTCAAAATCAAGCCCCTAATCAGCAACGTGAGTGATAGTTTAGACACGAACCATTTCTTTGTTATTTTGTATAAATTTTATATTTTTGCCATTTTTTTTTACTTTAGCCGTAGTAGGACAGACTTTTGATGAAATTATAGTCTCATCCGATTTGAATGTTAGACGAAAGTCGAAGGAAAATCGTCAAGGTAAAAAATTACTAACCAACGTACCATCGGGAACTACCGGACCACCTGGGAAATCAACAGCAGTTGCATCAAGGCTAGTTTCCAGCGACGGAAGTCACGTCACACTGGAAAAACGACAGCGTCGTGACGTCACAAAGCTGCGAGAAAGGTAAACGATTTATTTTCAAAAATTAATTTATGAAATTGATATTACCGAAATCGAACTGCAGTGTTTTTTTATCGACGGTCGGTAAAACGAGTTACCGACTAAAATTGGTAATCTAGAATTGACAATCTAGAAGATCGATAGCTGATCGAACATATCGATTTAGAGATTTTGACATGAGTTCGCACAGATGACTATCGATGGCGGTGATCGATTCGTTATTATAATTATTTCATAGAACGATACAAATATAAAAGTGTATCGTCCAATTTAAATGATTTACATGAATTTATTATAAAATTGAAAATTTTTTAGGTTCCTCAATTTAGGTGTCGCTGGATATTTGCTGGATTCTCGGAAATAATGAAAATTTTTTTTACAATCACGGACAACCGCACGGTCTTCACTCCCTCATCTGTGATCACACATTTCGACTGAACTTTGGATTTCGGCTCATGTAACAAAAAGTATCAATAAATTTTTCTGTGTCATAACACCCACTGCATTTTCATTAAACCAATCAGTATTCGTTTTCCTGTTTGTAATATTGAAATTCAAAAAAAATTATTATCATTGTTTCTTGTTTTCTTGATCATTGTCTAAGATCACGTAATGCATTATACAGCAAAATACGTTATCGTAAAATAAATCAATCCTGTATGAATTTTTACACAGTATTATTTCACAGTGTGGACGTATCCTTAACCCTTGTACGTCACGATTTCGCCATAAGTCTTGAGTCGTGCATATAATTGTAAGGCATTCCGCGTTCAGGCAAAGACTAAAAATCAGCTTTGTGAAATATGGCAGAACAGTTGAAAAGGCAGCCGCCATCATGATCACAATGGCCGCTGCAATGCTACGTGACAAGCACTGTGAAGCCACGAGCCCTTTTACCCTAAAGTATTCTAATAATTCAATAAATTAAATTCAACGTAATTTGTGTATACTGAAAATTGTACGAAGCTATAATTTTTTTAAAATTTTAATAAAAGCACTAAAATTTTATCATCATACAAAAAAAGTCGAAACAGTTTCAAACTGAAGTATCGGACTGAGTAAAAAATCAACAGTTATATATACGTTTGAACAACAAGACAATTTTGTATTCTGCACATCCAGCTGGAGCTGCGCCATATATTTAATGGTGGCTTCGTGATTGGACTGTATCATAGTTACGATAAGAGAGCTAATCTTGCAAATTTATGTCGTCCGACACCACTTTTAATTATGTATCATTGCCAAAATGTTTGGCATTGGCTTATAAAAAAGCATCAGAGATATAACTATAGCGAAATCATTGCTATTAATTTATCCTTGATTAGGTATCCCGCGCGTTTTCTTATAATTCGATAATAGCGATTTATGCGTAGAATCGATTATCCAGTTCGCAATTAGACCATTGCCAAAAAAATACGGTAATTGCTCAAAATTAGCACGTCGCTTCGTTTACCGTTTCAGTGAGTGTCCTTTGAGACGAAATATTTCGTCATGGAAATATGACGGTCACTCTACTCAGTGTATTCGCTACTTCATATTCTAACTGTAGTGTACAGTGTATCAGTGTAAAAAATCGGCGGCTCAACATCAAAGATTTTTAGCCGATCTGATCTTTAAGCGATGTCATATGTACAAAATTTATAAATACCAATTGCCAATATATATAAACTTGTCAAAAGGCAGTTTAGAGGACATGCGGTACTCACAATGGCAAGCCGATGTATTTTGTTAAAAAAAAAAGCCTAAACTTTGGGACATGTGGCATTGAAATTCTAACCTAATCTAACCTAATGAACTACTTCTTAGCCCATCACAACTCGAAGTGTCCAGCATGAAAAATTTGTTGGAGAATTCGGTGTGAGTGCCGCCAAATGGCTCTGGAAGTATACGTTATATATAAGATTTTTCCAGGTCCACCCTGGAAAATACCAAAAGTCCTCATAACTGCCAATACACAACAAAAAAGGTTCTGGAAAGCAGCTTTTGAAATATTTATATCATGTAATAAATTGTAAGAAACTATCATGAAAAAATAATGATGATAATCATCGAGTCAAATTTATCATATACAGTATACATATATGTATACATATATATTACTATATCGGTATGTACTATAGATTCTATTGCCTAGTTAGACTGCTAATTTTTTATATGACTTAATCAGGTACGTCCTGCAGTGTCATTCAGAATTGCATCCGATTGACATTCTTCATTGGCATCATTAGACTTTATCGATTCAGGATTCGTATCGATACTACACGATCGTTTATGTCGCCATGTACACCTGCGTCTATTTTATGTCTTTCATGGAAAAGCTGGCATTAAATCGCATCCCGGCATTGAGTGACTACTGATCAGGACTAGCGGTATATCCATGCGAATTTACAAGATCAACGGAAATGTAAAGCGGTCTCTAACCTGAGCTTCTGGATTTACCAGACGACTTCGTGATTCGTGTCTCGATAATCCTTGGTCTCTTGTTAAGTATATATTAAAATTTCATGCGTACACAGACCAACCAAAAAGCATTTTTACCTGCCGGATGTATTTATGCGTTTGGTTTGAGTTTGCAGTGCTTAGAGATTCTATAGGAATCAGCATAGAAATACAAATGACAGTAACATAGTTGTTATTGTCGGACCACGTGTTCAAATCTGTCATTTTGACAGGTGGTAAATAATGATATCTTTGCAGTATGCACGATGCACTGAAATATATTTTATTTTTCTATTTTGGTATCCACTTCCATAATTTCGTGAAATGTCACGTGGCATTAGCTACGAGTCGTATTGTTTGCGAACTGTCAAAAATAAAATGCTCAGCACGTGGACCGACTGTGTATACGCTATTTAGATTAATATTAATGCTTTTGAGGAAGTATTTTACGTTCGCAAATACTGTATTCAAGAACGTTTCTAATTCAATGAGTGATCGTGAATCATTCGGTGATCATTGGAGATCAGCACGTCTTTTATGTGTCGAAGGATTTGGACGCTGCTTTGCAATTAACGATCTGAATCTCGGGTGTCCTTCGACGTGATTGGTTTGCCGATCTTTGCCTTTAAGTTTGATGCGAATTGCGGTTACGCTAGATCGTAGCTGATCTTTTATTATTTTTTCAATTTGTCCTTTTGAGATATAGTTACGATCGGTACAGAAAAAAAAAATTGATACCAGTTGGTATTTCGAAAATGAGAAATTTTAATAAAAATGAAAAAAAACTGAAGATTTACTATTGTGAATATAAGTCTACTTCGCTTCGTAAAGCTTGACTAGAATCCTTATCAGCCGCTTAAATTTATAGCCATATAAATATTAATTATTGTTCATGTAACTGCAAAAATATATTGTTCTCCGTGATAAATTATATCAGAACATTTGAAATTCACAATACTATCGGTACGGCACGCTTAAACGGAGATAGGCTAATCCTAATTCAGTTTACACAACACGATCGGCCAAGACATTATCCGTGAGACGCGTGGTCCCGTAAAACAACGTTGAATTCGAATTGCGATTTTTGGGTCTTTCATGATCATCATTCATTAGTATGCAATGACGATCGGGACCGATATCTTGTAACGCGTATGAGTATCAATTTCAATATTTCACCGCTTCCTGCCAGTGGCTGTAGCCTGGCTTGATTATCATTTCATTAACAGTATCTACATGCGTGAGCCCCTCAGAGCGTTCAAGACACGCAAGATACAAAAGAGCGATTCCAAGACGATATGAAACGAGATGAAATCTGTGAAATAAAAAAAAAACTAAACAAAACTATTCCAAAAATATTTTTCATCTTCCGCATAAGACGGACTTAACTCTCGTAGGTTCGTTAGCCGACGGCAGATGCGACGCGCATTGCGTCGTACACAATGGAATTGCGCGAAATATGGAAAGTCGTGTAAAAGACCAAACAAAGGGATTCCTGAAGAGTCGACAAACAGACTGAGGGATGGACGAGAATTGAATATCATTAAATTGCGTCATCAGTTTTCTTCTGGCATACATAAAAAAAATTTGAAAAAAATTTTTCGTCTCTGATCGTAAAAGAATTTTTTTTTTTTTTAAAAAAAGTTTGTTTCTATCAATTTCTTCGATACTGCATTTTACATCAAGTCGATGCAAGGTGCGTTCATATATGTAATGAACGTGCATACGAATTGTTTCATATGTCTACCGAGTATTGAAGTACGGTTAATGACGTCTATGTATATGACATAACTTCCTACAAGAGACGAGCTTTTAATATTGTGCTCATAGTCATACCACTTCGGCCGTCTGGTATGACTGGCCAGAGGCGACGATAATTCTTGGGTACGATCAAAAGTCCGTAGGAGTCCAATGGCGGTGGCCGTGGACATCGTGCTTTGAATTAACAATGTTAAAGTCAGATCCGCCTTGACGTGTCACTGTCCCTTCCCCGTGTACTTCTTCGGGTTTAAGTAAGGATAACGAGGAAGGGACGGCCCTGCAGGATTCCCAGGATGGGTCCTGCGCGACTGCTTTCTAAGAAGGAAGTTACACAAAAACGCCACTTTGTCCTTGTATAAGGATGGACTTTTGCAAAATTTTTTATTTATTAAAAAAATTCACCATCACTATTGGAAAATAAAAAAAAATATATATATACACTGTAAAGCGTCTCGATGCAGAGGTCGAACTCGATATTTATAGAATTACTGAAATTTATGAACCTCCGCCATCTTTGCTACGTCGACAGGACATTAGACCCTTTTATCACGCCTTGACGATTCAGCCAGGAACACGCGTTGAAAATTCCAGTATTACCATTCGTACGAATGTCAGTCATCCCCATTGAAAAAAATAGGATAAATAAAAAGTTAAAAAAATGAATAAAAATGTAAATCGATCGATCGATCTTATAAAAAAAATAGTGATAAAAATTTATTATGAGAAAAAAAGTGTTTGCAAATCGAAGGCGTTTTCCCGTTGATTCATTCGCTTGACTTCCAGTGTGTCTCCTGCGCTGCCGGTCTTCCGAATTGAGATTACGATCGGGTCGCAATTAATTCATTAAATTCAGTGATATCATTATCCATGAGGGTCACGTAGCTGTGACCAATGCGTGCAAGCGTTACGCACTCGTATATGTGGATGGTTAATGAAGGGGTGGGGGATTAAGATCCCATCCCGTCCTATCGGATCCCATCCCATCCCATACGATGGCCAAGCCATGCCAACCCATCCTGCATGGCTTAAGGACTAGCCAGGTATAAAAGCAATGGCAGAATGGTAAGAAGCATCACCCATCAAAGTTTGCGAACCAAGTAGACCTCGAGTAGTGCTTGGATATCGTCGATAGAATTTGATCGAAGTACCTAAAAAAAAAAATAAAAAGAACATCAAAAGTACCGAAAAATAATAGTACCAAATAAATAAGATTAATTCAGGATACAAAGTGCACTTTGAGAAATTCAAGGATAACTTCGCGTATATATAATACAAGGAAGAAGCCTCTACGAAAATGACGTCCTGGTTCACCCTGTTGTTGGTCGTCGTGGGGTCAGTCGCGGTTCTTACGGATGCCCGTGCAATTTCTGCGGAGCCTGGTAAGTCTATGGTGAATGAAAGTAAAGACAGAAAATTTTGAATTTTGAATCCTTTCTAGTATCTATCATGATGGACCCTTATGGGAATCCGGTTTTGTTCGTACGAGAGAAAAGAACTCCGGTCCATCCTTATCCTCATAGGGCGATGATGTTCACCGGTTACTACAGACCTGCTAGACGTACATCTAACGTGGGTCAGGCAACTGGAGTCTATGCTCAGGGTAATGCAGTTAGTGGTGGTGCCTACTTGGGTGAATCGCCGTATCTAAAACGTGGGCCAGAGCCTGTCGAGGAGATTACAAGTGCGGAAGCTGAAGCTGCGCCTGAGAGTCCCGAGCAAGATCAGCAGGACCAGCCACAGTTCCAGGTTCAAGATCAACAAGATCCTCTGCCGGTATATGACCTGACTTAGACTAATGTCAAAACAAAAATGGTACCCGATGAACCGGAAGGATAATATTTTGTTCATTGTCATCGTTTCAGGAAGAATCCGAGTACCCCGTAGCAGATCCTGAACCAGTTTCTCAAACTGAAAGTGCTGTGATAGCACCTGCTGAAGAACCGGTTGCTCCTAACACCGAAGCACCTGCTCCCGCTGCTGCACCAGTCAAACCCCCAGGTCAGAAGAAGAGCAAGAAAACTCCCCTGCCGATACCGATTGCACCAGCTGATCAAGATGACGAGGACGTCGAAGACGAAGATGAGGAGCCCATCATTCCTTTCCTGCCTCCTAAGGGAAATCGTCGTCGTCAAGGATACGTTCCCAATTTGAACAACTTCTTCCCCATGGTCTTCAGTTTTCCGGGAGGTGTCGCCCGCGCTGGTTCCTCCGGTTCACCACCAGGCGCCGTCACTGCCATAGCTAACAGTTACTCCACTGCAAAAGGTGGAGTCGCCAGCTCGGTTGCCACTGCCTACGGCGGTTCACCTAATGGGTAATAATCGGATTTATAAATTTTTAACAAAAATCCCCAAAAAAAATTTTTTCTTATTTTTAATATCGTTTCAGTAAAAAGCAAAGACGAGCCCCCGTCGCCGAAGAATAAAACGGTCTGACGTCACGAAGAATTCAAAAGGATCGCCCGAAGTAACGATGTCCAAACTACTTAATATTAAAGCTAGGAAACCAAGTGACCCTCAAGTATCTAAGGATGCTCGGCGGCCCTTGCATTGTACTTGCCATCAGCAGAGATCCTGTTAAAGTTTTCCTCCGAGTCAAGAAACACGTCGTCCAGTACCACAGCCTGTAAAGATTGTAGACACGACAATTAGATAATCGTCTTGATAAAAAATCATTCGGCTATGCAAAAACATTTTTTTCGTTAGCAAGTCGTTAGCCTGTATATGAAACTGCTGAAATATATAAATAAAAGTATTAAAAAGAAAAAGGAAGAATCAGTGAATGCATAAGAAGTCGTGAGTCAATAATTTTTTTTATATATACTATAATTAGTACAATACTTTCGTAATATCTGAAACGAGTATTTAAACCGGATCGCCTTGGGCATCACGCCCATTTTGCAAATTTTTCGCTATTTCACATTTCGATCCGCCCGTAAATAACATAAACCAGGAAAGTGCATGTTAAACAAAATATATAAAAAATTATTCTCTTTAAACGAACAATCAACGATTCGTATCTAAATGGTACCAGGGAACGTATCTAAATGATATCATTTTAACATAGTCGTTTTCAGTACGGATTTTTAACGATATTTTGCCAAAATATATTCGATAAAGAACCAGATTTCTTTACCTTGCAACATCTCGCGATTGTAACACAAAAAAATATGAATATTACTGGAATATGCTAATATGTCGATTCACTATAAAAAGTTGCGGAACCGTCTGCTACTGTGTAGTTCAACGGGAGACACGGTCGAAGCATCTTTAGAATTGTCAATTTTCGATACTTTTCAAGATGAACACCAAATTGATCATTTTCGTTTGCATAGTGGCAGCAGTGTTCGCTATGGGCGAAGGTAAAGTCGAAATATAATTTTTCAAAATTTTATTTCATTTTATATTCACTTTTTAACTTATGTCCTCAGCCGGCACAAGGGTGCGTCGGTCACCGGGATTCGTACATGGAGGCTATGGAGGCTATGGAGGTCATGGAGGTTATGGGGGTCATGGAGGTTATGGAGGCCATGGAGGTTATGGAGGTTATGGAGGTTATCGAGGTCATGGAGGTTATAGAGGTTATGGAGGTCATGGAGGTGGATACGGTGGACATCATTATGTAGTATATAGACCCGTCTATCCCGTCTATTATGGAAGACCCGCGTATGGTGGATATGGAGGTGGTGCTGTTGCAACAGCTACTGCATATGCCTCGGCCGGAGGTTATGGCGGTGGATATTGAAGTTCAAACAGCTGGAGCAACCATATGGGTCATTTAAACAATAATATTGTTTATGAAACACGTGGATTAATTTGCCAAAATATTCCATTGTGGCGAATGGTTAAATTTATTTTGAAAAAATAAATACAAATTTTTAAAGCATTACGTAATTTTTATTTATAAAGAACCCTCGTTAGTCTACAGTTATCTCCTGGGATATCCGTTGAGTATGAAATTATTTCTGGACGAAATTTTTTTACACGTACGTCTGCTTATTGAATAGATCTGATAGTCATTGTGAAATCTTTTACGCGTACTCATTTACTATATACCATTATATATATATACCGTATACTATATACCATTACGAGGAGTTAGTATGAACAGACTGTATGAAGATGCTCGCTGTAATAAATTTCATTGTCGTGTACGTCTCAGTTTAATGGGAAGTTTATCCAAAATATTAGCATTAACTGAAAGTGCAACTCGAAGAAAATTTTTGCGAAAACATATAAACCTTGGTCATGCAATTTTTAAATAATAATGCGAATGCTTAGTCTGTCGTAGATTTTGAAAATCTTCAATTTTAATCGTTAATAGCTATTCTATTTAAAAGTGGATACGAACAATGTAAATTAATTTTTTTAGTGGTAACTTATATATTGTGTATCTAAATAGGTTCGCCAATAGATGCGGAAATATTGTGAATCTTCAATATAGGCAACGAACTCTTTCTCGTAGCTACAGGCGACGTTATAAGAAAAAAACGTTGAAAAAAAAATGACAAGTTGTTCAGAGTAACGTATCATAATCATCATAATCGAAATTTTTTACGGGAGAGGATGATTAATGGTATAAAAGAGTTTGGGTTCTCCATTAGGCAGTCAGTCTGATTTTTTCAAGTGCAAAGGAGGACAGAGAGGAAAAATGTTTAAAATATTTTTGATCTGTTTGTTAATGGCGATAGCTGCGGCTTATCCACTAGGTAATTTCAGTATTTTTTTATTATTGATAAAATTTTGATTTATCATTAAATTTTTTGATCGGACATTTGAAGGTTTTGGTAATTATGGAGGATACGGTGGACACCATCATGGTGGTTTCGGAGGTCATCATGGAGGATACGGTGGACATCATCACGGTGGTTTCGGAGGTTATCATGGAGGATTTGGAGGATTTGGAGGATTTGGAGGACATGGGAAACCCGGATTTGGATTTGGATATGGACGTTGAATCATACTGTTAAGTTATTGTTACACGAGGAAATTTCAATAGAAATACTGTAAAGTTTTAATTAGGCTATTTATATGGAAAAAAAATGTTTAACTTTTTATTCGAGATTTTATACCGAATAAATATTTTTTAACGAATCGTTGCATATTCGTGATTGAAGGATACTAATTGTTTTTCCTTTCTCAATTTAGATATACAGGGTTAGTCAGTAGAAACGCACCAGCAGAAGTTGGCCACAAGTGGCCGACACGGCAGTGTGGCAAGGATACTAATTGTTTTTCCTTTCTCAATTTAGATATACAGGGTTAGTCAGTAGAAACGCACCAGCAGAAGTTGGCCGCAAGTGGCCGACACGGCAGTGTGGTCTTTTCAAAAAATGACATGTGACTGTGACCGATTCCCATAAGCGCAAACTGACAGTTCACATAGCAATAAGGTTTTCGAAATATTTCAATAGTTAGGTTACTGAAATAATTAATTAACATTGTAATGACAAACTGTAATATCAGTTAAGATTTATTTTCACAACAGATTGCAATTAAAATAATGTAAACTTTAAAATATTAACACTTTGATATTTCCAAGTAATGATCACAACTGCAATTCTGCAATACAATGCTGCAATTAATTTAAAAATTAATTAATTGAAATGTTTTCATAGGAAAAAGGTGCAGGAAAAAAATCTGTTGTGAAAATAAATCTTAAATGACATTACATTTTGTCATTACAATATTAATTATTTATTTCAGTAACCTACCTATTGAAATATTTTGAAAACCTTATTGCTATGTGAACTGTCAGTTTGCGCTTATGGGAATCGGTCACAGTCACATGTCATTTTTTGAAAAGACCACACTGCCGTGTCGGCCACTTGCGGCCAACTTCTGCTGGTGCGTTTCTACTGACTAACCCTGTATATACGTTGTTAGGTAAAAATATTTTTTATTAATAAACGATTGTTCAAAATCGTGTACAACAATGGACTTATTAAAATTCTACTTTAAATAGGACCATTGTATAGACTTGATTCTAGGGATTAAAATTGGGTTGGCATGAAAGTAATGAGACACTCTAGAAAACTCGACAATGTCTTTTTTTAAATTAATTGTTTTCGACCATATTCTAGTATGTTCTAGAACATTCTAGATACTTCCGCTCTGTGGGTATATTCAATAGAATATGGTCAAAAACAATTATTTTAAATAAGAACATGTATCGTTTTCTAGTGTCTCATTACTTTCATGCCAACCCAATATAATTATCATAAATCTACGATAATTTCATTCGAACCAAAGCTGCGTAGTAGAATTAACAAAAGTTAATTATCGAAAAACGTCCGTTTCTTAAAAAAAAGAATCCAGAATAAAAATGTTCAACTAATTACGAAACCTTAATATTTTCAAAAATTATAATTAAAAAATGTACTTATACTACAATCAATTGAATAAGACACGAAGAATTAAAAAAATTAACAAATTAAATTAAATTTCTCAAAATTCGAGGTCTCGATATATACCTGTTTCACTCGCACTCATACAGGTACACGAACAAAAAAATCAAAGGACTATGACTTTCCCTGATCGGCATATTATTTTGACCACTTTTCAAATCATCATCGAAAAACTTTCTTTTTTACTGATAGTTCGTTACATGACAGTTCAGCAAAGATGACAGGCAGCTACCATATCCTGCTTGAGCTGAGTGGTAATTCCATATATTAGTCCGCCCATTTGAGTCTTATGGTAAAACCATATTCAAGTGGTGCGTTTGGGATGAATAACCTGGTATATTATTAACGAGTACCATTGTGTCTCTATTTATCTTCAGGCAACAGAGTGAGACCCAACCATGCTCACGGTACTGATGGCAAATTTCAAACTTCACCCACAGTCAACCAGTATTGAACAACGAATCATTACACTGTATTCAAGTATTAAATTATACGCAATTTTGTATAATAATATTTTAATTAAAATGATAAAATCATCTGGAATTACTTTTTTCCTAGGAAAAATCAATTATCTACGATCAATGATTTTTCTCTTGTAATCCCATCCACTGCCATCCTTAATACGTGCCTCCATATACAGGGTGAATCACCAATCGTGATCAGTAGAGATTACTTTGTTATTAGCGGCCCGATCGAAAATGTTTTTATCAGCTTTTGCATGGTTTCAAGAGAGCTTTAACGTGATAGTGAAAAATTACTGTTCAACTCTTTTTTTTTATGTTTTTTTCAAGGTTACCTTGAATTTTTGGCAACTGAACATATAATTTTTTTACGCCTGTCTGTTAGAGGATTTCAAGACGAATTCAGCACATGTAAGGACATGGCATTTTTTTCATCCGGTTCGAAAGAAAATTAAAAAACTTTGTATCGCAAGGAGAATCACAGCTACGCCGTTATACGCATCCATTCTGTCGTCTTCAGTCGCCATCAGTGTAGAGGAGAGGCCATAAAGAATGCAAAACACTCTTTTGTTCACCGTCTACGCGAGGGCATTGCAGCTCGTGGACTCCATTTTGAACATCGCTACAATTAAGATTGGTAAATTTTGACTTGTCAACAACTTTGGATGAGTAATAACGGCGTAGCTGTGATTCTCCTTGTGATACAAGGTTTTTTAATTTTCTTTCGAACCGGATGTAAAGAATACCATGTCCTTACATGTGCCGAATTCGTCTTGAAATCCTCCAACAGACAGGCGTAAAAAAAATTATATGTTCGGGTGCAAAAAATTCAAGGTAACCTTGAAAAAACATTAAAAAATAAAGTTGACCAGTAATTTGTCACTATCACAGACCTCTTAAAACCATGCAAAAGCTGATACAAACATTTTCGATCGGACTGCTGGTAACAAAGTAATCTCTACTGATCACGATTCGTGGTTCACCCTGCATAAACTACAATGAAACGTTCAACGAAGTCCCAAGAAAAAAGAATCACCAGAGCGTGGATGAGTTTAAGTTTTTCTATTCGTAAATAATAAGTCACTTTTTTCCCCAGACGTTCTGCATATCACGTAATCCCAGAATAACCACATGCATTATACAAATGATCTCGAATTGAAATCTCAAATCAATAAAACGACTATAAATTTGTATAAATCATTAATAATAAGTATGTATAAATCAGTAATAAACATAAAAAAAAAAGTAACGTCACCTACGATAAAACCCATAATCATTTTCACAAATTTCCCAATTGACTTTTAGAAATCCCAACTCCAGTTGACGTAGAACATTATCTCGACACTCAAAAAGCCATTGGAGACGCTTATAAAGAAATACATTAAGTATAAAATCAAATCACTTCTAATGACAGCAAAGTCTAAACAATATAGCCCGTGGCTACGGACGACGGTAGTAGAACGCAAAGCAGAAACCCAACGTGAAACAGGTTTCGGACTGAACAGCTAATCGGTTTATGTTCGATGACTCACGATAGAGAGTTCGGGGGTTCCCAGATGATTATCAAAGAGGTTTGTTTACTTCCTTTGGAAAATACTACGTCACAGGTTATATTTGTATTAATTAGACAGACTTTCACGCGAGTCAATGGATCTTCATTTCTCAAGGTTGGACGAAGGTTCTCTCGATCGGGCGTTAACGAAAAAATGACAAAATGCGGAAATTCCTACAGTTTATTTTTTTTTCATGGTCAACTCGTTTAAATATGCATGGAGAATCCCGACAAACATGCTAATAAGACGACATGTTTTAGGAAGCAAAGTGGTGGACTCGGTATAAGCTACACACGGTTTACCTGCGTAAGTAGGACGTAACAGGTTCCCCTCAAACAGTTTGGGTTTGATTCCCTATATAAGTTAAGCTATCTGAATAGTTAGACATCATTTCTTCGTTTTGAAGTTTTAAGTCGAGTGATACAAGGCAGACAGTGTTTCCAGTCTTTGAGAATTTTGTTTCATAGCAAAATTGCAAAGAGGGATAATGGCGAGGATCGTAGCATTGCTTGTGTTATTGGTGATGACCACTGTGGCTTTTGGTTATCCAACCATAAGAGTTGGTAACGAAGGTAGATTTTTTTACATACTTGTAATCTCTGATATTTAGGATAAAACAAAATTTTCATAGATCAACATACAGATCCTAACCTCAACATTAAGACACGTACTTGTAAGATAACTCGAATAAGACGTCTTAGACAGGACTTTTGGACAATATCCTTCATTTGGGTACTGGCAAAAATAATGTTTATATAAAAAAAAAACTTTTTTTCAATTTTGAGTGGTTACTGATTATTATGATTTTTTTGCAAACTGCTCATCATTCACTTCACATTTTCGAGTGCCAATGGATGATCGAATCTATTGACTTATGGAAATTATTATTTATTTTTGAACTCTTTTTTTAGAATTTGAAGCTGTCCCAGTGAGGGTTATTAGAGCTGCTGAACCGGATCCACATCACTATAAGAGAGGAAAATATGGCTTTGGTGGTGGATATGGCGGATATGGTGGATATGGTGGACATGGTGGATATGGTGGACATGGTGGATTCGATGGTGGTTACGGTGGAGGACCAGGTTTCGGGGGCTACGGTGGATACCCTCAAGGAGGTGGAAACTCTCAGGCTCAAAGTTCCGCAAACGCTGCTTCATTTAATACACCATTCGGCAGCGCGTCATTCGCCAGTTCGAATGCGAATGCCCAGTAAATAAAAAAAATTATGAATAAAAAAGTCATTCGTAAAATTGACATAAAATTAACGAAATATTTTAATTACAGAGCTGGAGGTTACGGACGATGAGAGAGGAAAAGAAAAAGGTGGGAAAAAAAGGAAATTTAACAAGGTCAAGTTACAGCGTGATCAAAAACCATAAAATCAAAAGACTATTAATGCCCTCATTAATAGCCACTCCTTCTTATTCCTAAGTGTTATGTGACTGAGTTAAGTTTTTTATACAATAAAGTTTATCGACAGAAAATATCTGTTACTCTAGAAAAAATTTTTAAAAATTTTATTATGATCCTCTTCTTGCCAGGATAAATCTACGGATATAGCTACTAAGCAGCATCAAACATAACCCGTCCTAATTTCAATGTACATTGATCTTACAATTAGTTAAGGCTATACCTATACTATATTATGCTATACTCAAAATAGTATAATATACAATACCAAACTATAGTTCAGCACGTGATTGGTCGGTTCCAGCATCGCCGTGAGTTTCGACCATGAACCACGATTCGTTCTGCGCAAACATCGCTCCTGATGACCGATACTGTCCATCAGGCATCATTGAGAATTAGAAATAAAAAAGTTTACTGAGCGAATATTCAACTCGTGACCTCTAGGGGGGTACCGTTATTCCCAAAAAAAATCCATTTTAAGAGCTATCTATAAAAAATATATATAATGAACTTAAAAAATTGGCTAATCGATATTTCAGAAAGTAGTGAAAAAAAATATATATATTTTAAATTATCAGAGATACATTTTTCATATAAAAATCCCATCGATACGTATATACAATTAATGTTGACAGGAAGTTTTCTTTGATCCACAAATGGAAGTCCCTGAGATATGCCAATCGAGCCGTAACTATTGTTCTTGTTGATTTCCACGAACCAATACGAGCTATAGCCAAAGATGAATAAAAAGAAGGAAGGCACAATGCTGGACAATCCAGTAGAATTATATAAACGACCGTAAAAAAAAAAAAAACTGTCGAAAAGGCCGAAGTTGTCACGTAATACTACGGTATGTGTTTATCGAATACACAACATGCAAATGTCAGAATTCACCTATAGTCATTTACACTAAATCGATCATGCTCATCAAAACAATAACGCCGGCTAGTCGGGTTTCCCCTTCTCTGAATTACCGGTTCCTGGGATCGCATTGGCAAAAAAAGTAGTGGTGCAAATAATACAGCAGCCATTGACTATAAATTGGCCAATGCTCAACAGTCGTACAACAGTTCTCTACACTACGTACAGCAACAAGCATTAGTCAAAAATGTTCAAACACTTACTCGTATTTGCATTGCTGGCTGCGGTAGCATTGGCCCTACCAGAGACTTTGGGTGAGTATAAAAAAAGTTGTTTTTGAAAATTTTCCATATTTGATTGTACGATGAAAAAAATTTTTTCACAGCACAACATCAAAAGGAGGACAAGGCAGAAGGACATACCCCAACTGACGGCCACAAAGTTGGATCCGACGGACATCATACTGCCAACGATGGACACGGTCATGCTACATGTAAGGATAAATTTTTTACTTTTTAACGCGGTTTACAAATTGAGCCAGGAATTTGTTATATGGAATTTTTATTATTTCAGCCGCCAGGAAAGTCAGGTCACCTGGAGGAGGATTTGGAGGCTTCGGCGGATCTAGCGCAGGAGCATCTTCCAATTCAAATAGCAAAGCCAGTGCTGGAGGTGGCGGAAGTTCAGCCTATTCCGGTGCCCAGTCTTCCGCTTATGCTTCCGGCAATAGTGGATTAGGAGGTGGCCATGGCGGATACGGTGGATCTAACGGAGGACTTCTTGGCGGTAGCGGCGGTGGATTTGGAAATGCAAAGGCGAGCGCGCAAGGCCAAGGACACGGGTAATTGTTATTGGATTAATTATTTAAAAAATGTTTAAACAATATAAATTATTTTTCTTATTTCATTTTAGATACGTTGGCTAAACGTTGTTTCTCATGTCCACGACGGAGGATTTTAATTATGGGAAGTCGTTCAGATAATTTCTCGTAATGCTTATTTATGTAACAGTTGTTTATGTGTAACTGTTTAATAAACGTTTATCATTACAATATTGCTTTTTTTATATTTTAATTTATCCTCGATACATATTTTTTCTTACGATTTCTTTTTTTCTTGGCTGACCAATTGTTATGTACTGTCGTACGTATAGCTATGGTTGTATGGTATATGATTCAGTGTATCGCAATTTGAACAACATGCGTGGTTTGAAATTGACAACAAACTTGTGTAACGTCCTGTATGTATGCTATGGGAAATCCTGTGTTTTCAAGATTGTTATGCAAAACATAGCATACCAGAATGTCTTTATTCGCACAGCTGGCTTCTATAAAACGATAGGGAGGTCCTGGTGTAGCTTCATATTGGAAATTGATCGTCATTAGAATTATTATCGTTAAAAATGGTGTACGTTATCATGATGGCGGTTCTGATTGTGGGGGTGAGTTTAGGATATCGGCTAATGGAATTAAATTAAATTAATTATTTTAATAGTCGATTAAGAGATTGTGTTTCCGTAGATCGATTGTCGCTCGCTTCTACCTTCCGGTATGGACGAAACAAGTAAGACATTGACGGTGTTGGGAAATTTGGATTTTTATAAATTAATAGCGCTTTTTATACAACAGGTAAATACTGGGAGTCTGGGGTTCTGAAATCAAAGGACTCGTCGTTAGAGTCCAATGGATTCGTGTCAACCGGTATCGTTGACTTTGAACCAATTAATAAAAAAATTTTTGATTATCCTGAGGAGCTGAGACCATTTATCGTGACTCAAGGACGAAAGTTAGAAAAACTATTTGCCGAATTTGCCGAGAGAACTGCCGATCCCAAGGATCATAGTCGACGTGCGGTAAGTTTGGAAAAGTATACTTAAACAAGTTATTTTTGTGTAATACGGACCTGTGTCAAAAAAAAATTTCAAAAATTTTGAAAATTTCAGAATCAATGGCTCAAGCAATTGAAATTGATTATGAAGGAATTCGCGACTGAGAACGATACCAAATTTGAAAAAATATCCGATACTAAGACCAATGGAATTTTGGATTCCTCTGTATTACCGCAGGACAAACAAATTTTGAAAAATGTTAATAGCCTTAAAGACTTTTTGGATTCTACCGGGGATTTTGATATATTTTATCAGGATCGACAGAACGACGAGAGACATGTCAAGTCCAGTGAGTTTTTTAATTATTTAAATATATTCACACCTGCAATTTTTTTTTTCATTTTTTCAGGATTCGATGACGCTTCCTCGTCATTCTTCAAATCTCATGATAAATCAGTAGAGGAGGATGACATTGTTGATTCCAAAAATCACGGAGACCAATTGATCGATATGATGATCGATGCCGAAAATCAATTGGGACGTATACGAAAGTATTTTGAAAAATTGTGCAGGTACCTCTTTGACTTTTAATTATGTAAAATTCATTATGTCATGGCAACTCAAAAGTCATTCTCTAAATTAGGAAACACCATTCGGTGTCATCGCCGGTAGGATCCTTGGAGTCTAATCCTGATTACGCAACGACTACGAGCCAAGGACAAAAATTGTCTATGCTATAAAATTTAAATAATTACATAATAACAATATCCTTATATATATAGTTCATATTATAAAATTTTTAGAACGAAACCTTATGGACCCCTGTCACGTTTGAATAATAAATAATCCAATAAACATTATTACCCACGACTATTTATATTTAACCAAAACCACACCCAAATCATAAATTATTAATTTATCAGATTATTTATCACTCAGCTTTTTACTTTATTCATCCTAATCGACTTCCCATTATTCTTTTGCCAATAAACCCTACTAGTGCCTACATAACAGCCATAAATTCTAATTTTCGAATTCAAATGAACTCACTGATTAAAACTAAATCAATTACCGTATAAAGTCAAAGATCATCAATTTTACAAAGCGTCCTTCGTAGCTGATCGAAGCCTAACCTAACCTAACCCCATGAAAACATACAAGCGGAAATTATTTATTCAACATCTTACCGTATATAACCGCACGAGGAATAATAGTGTAATGATTTCTTTATTGTCATCACGGATGACTTTGATGACAACCGATGACTCCAATGTCACGAATAAATAAAAATTCCTCAATTTCACTCGCGTGAAACTTATTCACCGTAACAATTACGCAGGGATTGATCATCCAATCTGAACGGCCGTTAATGACCTTCCGGTAACAGAAACTAGCTCAATACCAAGAACGATTAAATGACATTGACTTTACGATAAAACGTATTACGCAAGACCGATCAAGTAACAAGATTAATTCAAATTGGAAAAAAAAATTTAGTACAATTAGACAAGACTTTTTTTTGTACGTGTGCTCTAATTTTAAGAATTTTTTTTTATTATTCAATGACATTCAATTAACAAACTTCTCTATGGCTCTAGGCATTTTGTGTTTTAATATATTAAACACGTGTATCAGGTATGCGAAACAATGTTATTGACATCTTATATGAACTGCAACACGTAACGTCAATTCATCGTTTAGTTTCTTTGATTACTGGTTACGTGCTAATGCCAAGGACTGATAGCACTCGTAGTTCCAGTTACCTACTGATTTTTGACAGTTACTCAAATGGAACGTAAAACGTCAGAAATGATGTTTGGGAAATAAAAAAAATTATTGATACCGACTAGGGCATTGTGACGACCATGTACTAATTTTACGTGCACAGTACAAGGTACTTGCGTTACATTAATTAACAATTTTTCTAAATTTCGTGACACTGACATAATTTGACGTAGAAGGAATTTTTTCAAAATTATAAAAATTTCAAACGTGTAGTAGACAATGCTCGTTCTTCTTGACCTAACAATCTGCACGGTACGGATGTCCTATTAACGTCTCTCTGACGTCCTTAAAATTTTTACAACCGTGACACGTATAAATCGTGAAAATGTTGTACCAATTATATTTCGAAATTCCTCAAAAACATTGTCTCGTTCATGTATTTTAATCGTCTGGATGATTTAGTTTTTCGCTCGAGTCATGCTAATTTTAATTTATCCCGATGCACGATCATGGCGATGAGATAATCTGCAGTTGCGTGCGTCATGCTTTATGTGTCATTTAAATAACATGTTTCTTAGGGTCACGAGACTAGAAAAGTTTTCAGAGGACAAATGGCTTTAGGGAGAGAGTAATAAAAACTTTCGTACCACGATGCACTTTATATGCATCGATATAGAACTAGGGTAAACTTATGGAAACAAGAACGTGGGGTACTTCTGTGCTATCAAGATTTTGCGTGTCCTCGGCCCATAGACCTATTCAAATTACGACATTCGACTAACAATGGAAAATCCAAAATCATTTGCAGGCTATTCGAATCTGCAGGATTTCGCGAAATCGTAGATCTTGCAAAAATAAAAATCAAAATGCTCATTTATATTCCTCATGTACGCTTACGTAAACGTGACTAGTTATTTAAGAGCTCCGCACAGGAGATCGTTTTTTGAAAGTATCGGAAATCAAAATTATTTCTTTTTTTTTTTAATGACTCCTCTTCATTTTTGTTTTATCAATTTCACTGTGCTTTTTTAATCAACGTATCGGTCAATGACTCATCATGCTTATAATGATGCGCAAGACCCATACTTCATATGATATCCCTTCTTGATGGGAAGATGCTTGACACGTTTGATCGATACAGAATGGTCGTCAATGACAACTAGGTGTTTCCCCGAGCCTTTGTCAAAACGGACGCGACTTGATCTCCTTAAACGGTAAGATTTTTAAAAAATATTACTTATTGTTAGTAACATCGACAATAGCGGAATTATCATCAAACCGTAACAAGTAGATACAGAACCAGAATCCAGTGGATTAAAAAGATTCGAAGATTCAGATCGCTCAGTGAATTTTTTTATTTTACAACCCTTATGTTCGGGTCTGTATGAAAATTTTTCGAAAATATAACAATTTTTTACCATGACAATCGTATAATTTTTTACTACGATATCAATTGCTACCATTCATCCACTATCATTTTTCTAATCGATTTTCCCGAGTATGATAACAATAGTGTCACTTTGCAACAATACAAAGATATTAATAATTGCACAAGAAGGAACACCTTCATTGACATTCGAAACGGAAGAACCAATCTCAAATTTTAAAATCCGATCGTTGGGTCACCCTTTAATCAAGAATGAATTGGACTAAAATACTTTTAAATTAGTATATCAAGGGTGTTCGACCCCTATTGTCATAGCAGGTAGATCGAAAGGGGGTTGCAATTGTAACGTGGCTGTGATTTTCGTGAATAAAACCAACCGTAGGAAAGGTCGAACTGGCATTTAATTTTTTTAATGAAAAACAGGTAATTTCATTGTTTTATTGTGATACATTCTTTCAATTTGAATTTAGGTCTTCTAAATTTACCCCCATTATCCAAGACCGTACGAACACGCGAGCACGTCCGGCTATCATTTATACAGGCGCAGATTAATCGACTGGATCGCGTGAATTCTTCGATAAAGTTTATTAGGATTTGCGTGACTTGATTCGCCACGAGTCAATTAAAGTTTACCAATTGATCCACTGGAAATATTTGACGCCTTCGATAAGATGCTGTATAACTGATATGGGCTATTCTTGAGGATCGACCAGGATGCATCAGGATAAATTCTTACGAGGACCTATATTTTCACTACTACATCAAATTTAGGCTGTTTTAACTTGCCTAACCAAAATTTCACGTATATACTACATTGAAAGTACTGCAATGGAAAAATATATAAACTACAGACTGTGTATCAAATTTTCAGTTAAAAATATTCATTCGACTTTATGAGTATCTGCCGTGATTGCAGTCACGATAAAGTTAAAAAAAACTTGCTCAGGCAATGCGATCTGGAACAGCAGTTCGTTGCTGCTCTGCAGACTTAATATTTCATTTGAAAATAATTGGCCTGGAAGTCAAAAATAAATTGTTTCTGAAAAGCAATTTATCCCGACGATAAAAGAAGCTTATAGACTGGTAATAGGATTACGTATACCTATAAGTCATGGAAAGTAATATACTTCGGACACGACAGGCTTATTTAACTGTAAAAAGAAGCCATTTTCATTTTACTTTGGTGAAATAAAAAAATAATACTAATTCATGACGACAAGCAAAATCGCCAAGTTACGATTTTTCGATTTCAATTTATAGTCACGCATGTATAAAAGAAAAGTTGACCCACCCTTAAGCATCTTAGGTAACAAAGCACGCTATGGTAACCCACCCTTATAAATGCTACTAAATGAAGCAACTCCTGTCGCATTCAGTACTATTTAATTCGTCCAAGAGAATCCGATAGCACGCGATTCTGAAATTGTATAAAAACGAAAAATGGATCCCTCAATTACCCTTGTGCAAGCGTCTCACATATACAGTGTCTAGTATCTCATGGATATCCAGTAGCAAAGGGAAAAATTGTATCAACATGTTTTGTCGATAATTCGATTATCAGTACAGTTACGTGTACGAGGGTTGCAAGGGTGACTGACCGTGAGAATAGTCAGTGTATTAAAGCGAAATAAAAAAAGTCAATTTTTTTTTTTCTTATCAATATAGTGAACCTCGAAATTCCTTGGAGTATGGCTGGAAGAATAAGCTCATCCCCATCAACGGCCGTCTACCAAGGAGGGGATGAAATCGGCGTCGGCGCCGTCGGCAGGACCCCCATAAGCGGTCGTGGTGGTGCTATGGTGATGAGAAGCGTTTCCATATTCCTGACAAATGGTCGGAAAGTCTCCATAGTGTCCAAGAGGCAGCAGAACATTTCGGCGGGTACCGTTTCCGGCGGAAGACGTCGTAAAAAAATGCCCGACGACGGAAGCATCAAGAGCGCAGCTTTCAATACGAAGATCATCGAGACGCTTAGGAAGAAAACTAAGTTCTCCAGGTGTAAAAAAAAATTTTTTTATCAAGTTTCTTGCCAAACACAATTTTTTATTGGATAACAATTATTTTTTTAACGATAGGGGTGAATTAGAAGCGCTTTGGAAAATTTATCGTAAACTGATAACCACGCCTGGACAACAAGTGGGACCGGTAACCACTATAAACGGAATGCCGTCGCCCGTACAGACGATCGAAGTATTTTTGTCGTATTTGAAATTTTGATAATTTTTTTTTTCAAAATTTTTTTCGATTTTAATCTTTAATATCATTTTATTCCAGGGTATTGACAGGACTATTTTTCGTGAACTTCTTCATAACACTTTTGATATTATTACCGAAGACACTCTCGTGGAACGTATGTTCTGTTGTTGGGACAAAGACAACGAAAGTGCTATAAGGCTGGAACCGTGGATTATGGGATTGGACGTCTTTTTACGTGGTAGTCTGAGGGAACGTATGGAATTTTGTTTTCGCGTTTACGATCTTAACGGTGACGGATACATTACGAAGGATGAGATGTTTCAGTTGTTGAAGTGAGTTTTGAAATTTTTTTTTTTTATTTTGAAATTAAATTTCTTTCTATCAATTTTTATCCACTTCGCAGAAATTGTCTAATCAAACAACCCGGCGAGGAGGATCCGGACGAAGGTGTCAGAGATCTTTCTGAACTTGCGTTAAAAAAATTGGACGTTGATCACGACGGGAAAGTTTCTTTCGAAGATTACGAATTGGCAATAAAAGAGGAGCCATTGCTGTTGGAAGCTTTTGGACAGTGTTTGCCTACGGAGGAAAGTTCTACAGCTTTTCTGACTACGTTGCAGCCCTAAAAAAAATGTATATAAGCCATACGTTGATTAAAATAAATTTCTTCAATAAAATTCATTCACGTTCCACAGCCTACTGCTTAATTAAAATGCTTATGGCTAATTGAAATTTCACAGGTAAAAGTGTGTTCCTTTTTAATTAGGTATCACTGATGAGGTAATAACAATGTTGATTAAACTTTAACGAAGTACTTCACGGCTTAAGGAGAAGCTGATAAGAGTACATTGGCTGAATCGTTTGCGTATCGAATTGGCAAGAATTTCATTAGGAGTCGTCGGCTATCGTTCTATTCAAATGAGAAGAGGAACTGAGAGCTATAAAATTTTATTATTGACACAGTTAGACATTAATTGGACAAGGTTATTTATTTTAATCGTACTTTCTACGATTTTGCGATTAGGCAGTTTTTTGCTATTTCAAGGCACCTCAACACCGAAAGGAAGATCGACGTGTATTAGAACGAAGAAAGTTGAGTTAACGAACCCAAAAGGAGAAGCAAGAGAATGAATCTAGCGAGTTTAAATTTTGCAAAAAAAAAATGTAAAAAATTTTTACCAATAAATATATCCCAGATCGATACCACCTATTTCCAATAAATCAAATTACAAGCTGACTATATGTCATCGAGACACAAATTCGACTTTAGGTAGAAATCTTAGTACTGCATTTTACTTGTATTCATTTTTTTCCACATTTTCTTAACTTGAATGACCTTGCTTAACCAGGTGCAGGGTCCACTTATCAGTTTAATAAAATCAACCAGTTGGCCACACGTCACGTTATCATTTACGATTCGCGTGGGTCGCCATAAAAGCGAAAGATTTATTTGCCACTATACTTGTTTCTGGCTATCCTGACGTTTATCCAGCGGACTTTCATTACCGGAAAATACATAGAACCGTAGCGAAGAAATTTGTAGGAATCAGGAAGCATTTTTTTTTTTTTATTTAAACCAAAAGGAACGGATTGACGTAATACGTGGATACGCACGATTGCGAATAGAATGGAATATTTTTTTTTTATAATTTTTTTTATTACAAAAGTAAATGGCCATTAACTTGCAGCCTGATGCACATTTTGTATGCACTTTTGCTTTATCCATTGTCCGAGATCATTTCTTGCAATCACATACTGTTCACGTTTCCTCCTCATTCGCAAGCCTGGATTCTTTTACCACAGAAACATCATCCTCCTCATAGGGAATTTGTCTACGAAGCATATCGTTAGCCGCGTATTGCTGCAAACAGTTATTTTCATTATTCAATACCCTTTCGCGTTCTTTGCCGTGCTTTAATATTTTCAAAATTCCTTACGACAAGATTCTTCCTGTTGGAGTTTACATTACCGTCATGTTCCCCCCACCACATATCATTATATCCTGGATGAGGTTCTTTTCGTACCCCATTTCCATCCTTATCGAAATTTCGAATCAGAATCATTTTGACTAGATTTGTGAGCTTATCAATTTTGATCACAAGGATTTCAAACATTTGTGCGTTCTGCGGAAATAAAAAAAAAAAATTATTTTTTTCTTACTTATACAAATACCTAGAATTAATTGACAAACTGGCGAATCAGCAGTATACGGGTTGGCCGGGAGGTAATACTCTGGCGGAAGTTGCTCTTCTCTGGTAGACTGTCTACGACCAACTACGTATCTCGAGCCAAAACCCTGGTCAACCTTGACCTTGTAAGCTTCGTCATTATGCCTTTTATGAAGGGACGACTGATATTGTTAAAAAAGAGTATAATAAAATATTTAAAAAAGTTAAAAAAAAAATAAATTATATATTAATTTAACAATAAAATATATACGTACAGCTTGAGCATCGATCGGTGTTATCCAAGTAATCTAAAATTACATTGCAAACAATTAAAATTATTAAAACGTGAATTAATCTTCGGCATAATTATTACACTCACGGTCGCACCACAATCAGCACGAAATGAGTGAACATTATGAACGTTTCTCATAAAAAGACAAGCTCGTATGCTCTTTAAGTATACTTACAACCAATCGTAATATAGTCTTCACATTGTCAGCCTGAATAACATCATTATCCAGAACCATGGACAGTGCCATTGTTGTACCGTAATAATTCATAGTGAATTTCACGATACCAGCCAAAGAAAGTAATAATACTATTTTACTACTAATTTACCATTGTCAAACCCAGTAACGAATAGCGAGTATCGAATCCGGCGAAACACATTGGTTTTTCATGGATTCTGCGTGACCGTAGCCGGTATACAAGACGGCCATCGTTATATCCAGCCATAGTTCTACAGCTGCTAGGGGAAATAAAAGAAACTAGACTACACATTAGTATTTGTCAATGAAATCTCTGACTGAAAGTCCGACTCATATTCCATCCTTTAATAAGAGAACTACCGGTCGCTGTTGTACAGTGACGTATTATTATCGTGGCGTGTCAATTGAACCTGACACGGCGAGTCGGGTTGAGATTGAAAACGGAAATTATAAGAGAAACGATAAGAGGAACATTTAATACGTCCTCATAATTAAAATTATAGAATGGTATAAAACGACGGTAATACTTTTGTCAGATTAATGGATACCGCGGATCGTCTCGTTGTTTAGATCTCTCGCCATGTCAAACTGGACGATTTTACTGGCGATCATTGCCGTGACAAACGGGCAAGTACGGACTATTAATTTTCTATCGTAAGTACGATTTGTCATATCAATAAAGAAATATCATAAATGATAATATTACACAGCCTGGCGTCGCGAGCCTCGTTAGGAAGAATCAGGCCGATACGAAACAGTCGGACGCGCAGAATGTATTGCACAAGGTTGGGATTTGAGAAATTAATTTTTTTCTCTCTCAATTAACTGATAATTATTATTGTTCAAGAGCGATACCATCATCGAGAATAAAAATGTGAATATCTTGGTAAACGTCGACGCCAAGGCCATAGCTGAGGAATTGTGGAAGGTCATCGAGGCTCATTTGAAATTGAAACCAAATCGACGCTCCTTTGACTCCCAAGTGAAATTGAGAGAATTGGAGAATATCGTTTCGAGTATATTGACTCCGAGTAGAAGAGGATCTCATGGTCCATCCCCATTTGAGATTGCTCATCAGCTGGACCACGTGGCGCGAAGTGCCATCTCGAACGATGGGTTACGTGAAAATTCCCTAGATACAGAAATTGTGTTTAGGAATATCGTGTCGGAGATGCTGGAGGACCTGAAGGGCATTATGGGTAATGAGGAAACGTCCGATAGGGAGAAATCGTTTGACGATTCGTCGAATGAGCACAGAAGAGGACTGTCCGTGTCTAAAAATAATAATGAATTTGTTGATCTGAAAATGCGAATACTGAAGGAGGATTTGGCCAAGGCTGTTAAAACGTCTTTGGATAGGAGTGAATAAAAAAAATAAATCTGTCATGTGAATTTTGAGAAAATACAAATTTTCAGATTTACTTTTGTTTTTATTTCATCGAAATAATATCCGCACGGTATTGACGTATTTCATTGGATTTTTGAGCGAAGTAATCGACGCTTTTGGTACGGTCCGTGTGGTAAACAAATATTTTTGTATACCAAAGCGGTCTTTGAATATCGTGATTTCTCAATGACATTCGGGTAATATATGGTGCTATGTAATGTGTAATATATAGCGCAGGCAATTTCCTACCAATCGTAATTACACGGATGCATGTCGTGTTAACTTTACAAACGAAATTTAATCTTTATTAACTTAACTCTAGCGATATACTACGAAATTGCTGTTATAATAATCTATATATATCTACGTGGCTTATTCAATTATCAATAATTCATTACATTAAGAGTGGATATCTCGATTCAATTTTTGATTGTGACGAATTTCGAGCATATAACTAGCTCGGTTTCTCGCTTAAGGAATTCATACGAATTTTCTCCATAGACGCTATAATGTCACCGAAGATGGTACTCGTCTGGATGTCATGGGCGTTCGTGAGTATACGTAACAAACTTTTAAAAATTGTTAAAAAATTTACATATATATATATATTTACATTTTCAATAGATTTTGACGTCCTTCGTTAGTTGTGAAACTATCGAAGATGCTCTTCACAACGTGTTCAGACGTCTGACGTACATTGAAAATGCTATGGCCGACAACAATAGGAATTCAAACGCCAATTGTAATACCAATAAAATCAGCATTGGCAGAAGAAATTCACTAAACGGTGAAACGGCAACGGACGGGGTGAGTGTGAATTGAATAATTAATTTATGAATTTTAATATTAAAATAATAAATAACATTAAACGTATTTATCGGTCGACAGGCTCTCGGAGATAATGAGAGCGATGAGGACTTGCCTACTCTTCGGAATAACGATGAACTCAATGACGACTCAGCAAACCGAAGAGGTTACAAGCTAAAGAAAACCAAGAGGAGGCGAGGAAGGTATAATAATCGTGATAGATCATTCTCGGTTGATAGCTATTATCCTCATACAAGCGGATCGGCAGCTGATCTAGATACAAACATGAACACAAATCGAAATGTTAATAAAAATCGTAACGTCAATATTAATAAAAATGTTATATCGAGACGTTCCGATCATGGCACTCATCGTGTGGCTATTCCGGCTGAACATGATTCAGTGTCGGCCGAAGTGTAAGTTTGAGAGATCTGAACCAATTATAGATAAGAAGAAAAATGGTTTGATAAAAAAATTAGAAATATTTGTTCTTGTCAAAATTAGAAGAACATAAATGTATTTGAAAATAAGTTTAATAAAATGGATGTGTCAATAAGCAAAATTTCAAAAGTTATCTTGACTATATATATGTGTATATACAATCGCCTTTGTACTCCAATAAATTCCCATAAAAGTATTTCCCACGTGCGCTGTATAAATATTGATTATCGTATCGAAGCCTGAAATTATAAGTGACAATGGGAATTTAAAAAAAAATTTTTTAAAAATAGTGAATTACAATTAATATTTGTCAGCTTCAAAATTTTATTTAATTTAATGTGATGTTTGATTTTTGAAAAACAAATAGAATTTCATAAATTCTCCAACCGATATAAAAATTGTGTCAAACAACGGCTCACCATTGCGAATCATCAATTCGCTCACGCTGATATTGAACATTGCATAACGTTCCGTGCAAGCTGTATAAAAATACTTACCGAAAACGTAGATGCATAGTGTCGAAAGAGAAGCTGTAAACGATAGTTATGGGTCCAGAATCGGTCTTGGCATTCTCATTAAGTATTTTGGTAATTTGTGTAAGTTAATTAAAAAAAATTTTTTTAATTATAAAAATTTCACTTTAATATCAATCTAACAGGGAAATTCAGGGGTTTATACCAACACTGTATTAGCACGTAGGAATTTGCACGGTGACGTGAGGGCACCTGGACTTCACTTGCAGTCGATTTCGAAAAATGATAATGGACCATATCAAGTGAGTAAGAATAATTCTAATCCGACAAGAGATTCATCTCGGGAGATAGTTTCGTAGATTGTTACAGAAAGAGGCTGATCCCAAAGTAGCTTCGATAGCTTCCGTAGCAGCTGACGCAAGTCTGGACGTCACCAAGACAATGGCAAAGGAAATTAGCGATGCAATTGCATTGGCAGTAGCGAATGCAGTCGCCAAAATTTTTGCTGAACAATCCGCAACATCCGAACAGGATTCTGAGAAGCTGCCAGAGAATGTTCCAGTAGCATCTGGTAGTATCGAGAATACGTAGACGACCGTGTAAAATATAGATCTTAATAAAATTTTTTCTTTTTTGAATTAGACGATGTGAAACCCAACAGTAACGAAAAACATGATTCGAAATATGGTAATGTTGGGTATCGTCGACTCTCCATTAAGGGATCACAAGAAGAGCCTGAGGATGCTTATGAAGTCGACGATAACGAATCTAGGCCAGCTGATAATACTAGAAAATCGTTGAAGACATCAGACGCAGATCAGTCAAAGGTGTTATACCAAGGAAAGAAAAAAAAAAATAATTTTGAAAATCTTTTTTCAAAATAATATTTTCAATTTTTTTTTTATAATTTAGATAACACGAAGAACTTTTAATGACAACCAGACACTAGCTTTTAACCAGGATGCTCAGGTTAATCCAACTGTGAATTATCGAAGAAATGCAATTATAATTTTGCATCATAGGAACAACAGTGGACCATCTTATCAAGAGCGTATAAATGTTAGTCGTCGTTATCATCAGTCTATTCACGAACAACGTGATGATGATTATGACGAAGCTTTGTAAACTGATAAGAATAATGATAAGAAAAAAATTATAAAACGAAGTGACATATCACATCGTGCTAAAAATAATGGCAATATGAACGAATATTTTTGATCATTGATAATGATTTGTATTAGTCAAATTAATTTGTCGAATAAAGGATTTACGATTTAAAAAGCGATTCCCAATGATTCGGTCCCTTTTGTGATTTTAAGAGCAATCTCAGAACAATGGACCAGTTTGATTATTGTCATAGATCTACCGACTGACAGTTCAATTTATAATGATTTAAGACAGGACACTTATTAAATTGAATTCACTATTTCTCATGGCAGGCATATAATGACTGATGATCTGCATCACTTATTCAATTTCGCTAGAAGTATTTCAAAAGTATGGCACGTTCGTTAGTGTTGTTCATTGGATTTAATTTGATAGTCTGGATATTGAAAGTGAGTCTGTGGAAAAATTAAATTTTTAGCATTAATGAGATATAATTAATTAATTATAAAATTAAATAGACCGTTTTAGGAAGTCATCGATCGAAGAATATCATTAGTAGAAATACGAATGTAATTCACGTGAGTAAGGATTGATATAAATTTTTTAATTTCTTTTCCAAAATATATTTTTCTCAATTTATCAGTCTCGAGGATTTCGTAACGACGGAGCTGCAATTCCCAACAATATACCAACTTACCATTTTGTTATGTATCCTTTGATACTAGTTGAAATTTCAAATCCTAAATGCAATGTTTTTTTGAAAATTTTTGGGCTACCGTTTTTTGAACAAAATTTGGGCAAATTTATTTCATCGAAACAAACTGGATATCGACGGGATTTGAGCGATCACGACAAAATCATTGAAACTGGTGACCAACTAACTAACAGTGACAGTAGACGAACTGCTCACATAATAAATGATATTTCCAAATTAAATGACAATGATAAACGCAATGATAACAATCAATCCAATGACTAAAATTGAAAAAAAGAACAATTGTATATGGCGGTCGCCAAGTATTTTCTGATGACTCCAGTGGTGATGAAAATACAAATGATGATGAATTAACAGTAAAACATTGAATAGTAATACAAATATAACAGCAAATATTTATTACTCAAAATTATAAATTTTCAGTTTGAACCCAATAAAAAACCCGTGGATTTAGATGCTGATAATCATAATGACGTTAATAATTATCGTCATTGTTACTCTCATCCAGATGATCCATATTTCAGTTTTTCTCATTTAGATGATATAGAGGTAATTGGCATTTTGAAAAATTCATAAACACCTATAGCTATACTTTCTAAAATTGTTTCAGAAAATTGATCCCAGAAGTCGTTGATTATTTTTCAAATCCAAAATTTCATTTTACTAATGGATAAAATGTCTAATCTGTTTCTACATTGTTAAATACACATTAGATCAACTTTAGTTTTTTCAATATGGTACTACTGCATGTGTAAAAAATTCAATTAGCAATAGGGAAATAAAGTGAATCACAAATTATCTGATATCTCAGCGACTTGGATTTATGATTTATAAAACGTTATTGCGCGTTGTTATCAAAGAAACAATCGGTGCGGACTTGACCTCGTAGTTACTCCACGAGTAACGAGAGTTTATAATTTTATTTTATACGTTAAATTTTTGGTGGACCAAGGAATGGGATTCTTTTTGAGAAAGAATTAAGGTCCAAAGCATTTATTGGGTATTTCTAATTTGGAAATTTATTCAAAATACAAAATTGAGGCTAAATCAAAATCTCGCAAGATATACGGAGTAGATCAAAATTGAATTGGAATTGTAAAATGTCAAAAATAAATTACCCTCAAATTAAAATATTAATAAATTAGGTGTTTGAAATATTAAAACAATTATTTAAATCAATAAAGCTAGATATTAACATTTAGAAATCAGAAATTCTGGCCAAGAATATTCAGAAGTACTGGAAGTTGTCCAAAAATGTATGCGCGCAAATCCTTCGCGCAGGACTCGCCGAGGTAGGAAACCGAAGAGCACATATAGAAAAAGAAGAAGGTTAGAAATGAATAAGAGGGGTGCTTCCAAGAGTGCAGCATAGCAGACCAGCGAAAAATGAGCGCTCCGAGTTCGAGCACTGCGTTAAACGCTTCCCCCACTCTTTGATTTCCTCCCACTCGACGACTCCTGCGCGAAGAATTTACGCGCACGCAATATTGGGTAACTTCCAGTAGTTCTAAATATTCTTGGCCAGAATTTCTGATTCATTAATATTTCAATTCGAGCGTAATTTATTTTTGACGTTTTACAATTTCAATTAAATTTTTACCTACTCTGTATATTTTGCAAGATTTAGCCTTAATTTTGTATTTTGAATAAATTTTGAAACTATATCAAGATCCAATAATATTTAGGAACATTTGGAGAGCTTTATTCAACGTTTCGAATTTTCGAACGCACCTGTCCTAGGTGTGTTCGAAAATGAACCATATTGTTTATGTTTGCAATCGGGCAATAGAAAATCAAATTTTACTTCTTATTTAAAGATACTTTAATTAAATAAAAAAAAACAAATTGCGGAACAAAATGGAGCGAATTAAAAGCAATTGATTCATTACGAAATTCATATGAAAATCTGCTTGGTTCTTTCGAATAGCAATAGAAACAATATTTTTCTGGTTTTAATGAATACCGTTCAATAATTGTATAATAGCAGCGGAGCAATTAGGAAATCATCAGAAGCACTGAAAGACCCATTTTTTAGGCATTAAAAACATATAAATTTTTATCTTTTGCCGCTAACTTCCCAACGGTGAAATCGTATTGTGTCCGATAAGGTAATCGTATCGAGCGTTAAAAATTATTACAGGCGGTTATCGGTAACGATCGTAAATTTCCAGAAATGCATTCAAAATGAATGTTTATGGGATTTGGTAAGAAAAAAATAAAAAAAAATAATAATTCGCTAATAGCACAGCACGGCAGTACCAATCACATAACGGTAAAGTTTCTTACAAGGTGAGGTTGATCGTGTTGGGATTTTCTGGATTTAAAGAATCTCATATCATGATACTACAATGGATATTTACATTGTCCCTGGGACTATTGGTAAGACGATACAAAAAGATTAAAATGAACTAAAACGTAAAATTTTGATTTCCACATTTTTTTTTATGTATTAGGTAAACGCAGTACCACCAATGAGATTGAGTCATTCGGGTTACGAAGTGATATCGTTTGCCGGTCAAAAAAACGATGACTCCGAGTCGTCAAAGATTTCACGAAATTTTCCAAAAATGTCGGGATACAAAATTTTGGAAATTGCTAAACCATCCGACGACTCCGAATCCCTGGTACCGCGACAAGATCGCAAAATACATTACGAGAATGGAAGATCAAATCCAAAACAAAACACAGTAGATTCCCCGTTCAAGGATCAAGTAAATCCTTCGAGTTATCCCACAAAATTTGCATTCAAGACCAACGATCAAGATCAAAGTGACACCTTACAAAATAATCATCACGATAAATCCATCGGAACAATGTCAAAAAGTATCGATCCGAAATATCCAAATCCTGCGATAAAGAACGATACCGAAAAGCACGACACGCCGATTCAGGATCCCGACTTTGACTACAGCGATATACGTACCGTGGATACAAAGCAGGACAAACCCGGGATTTTCTCCGATGATCCACAACAGGACGACAAAGACAAACAGGACAAGTCAGAACCCCCAAAACAGCCGCTACCAACGATAACGAAATTTTTACCAGGACCGCGTGGATTTTTGACACTTCAAAAAAGCGCCAATTTGATCTCCCCGATTTATCCAGCAGGACATGACGTCACGTCCCACCGTTCCACGTACAAATCCTTCCCCCTCAGTGCATCCGGTCTGTCCAGGTCCCAGGACGATTCCCTGACGCGTCACAAATATTCCCCGATGATCCAAGACGATTTCGAACCCCCACGTGAATTCCTGAGACAAAACATAGCCCGAGACAAGAGCAACAAATTTCTCTTACTGAATAGCCTGAAACACTTTTTGCTCAAAAATAAAATCCCCTACCCACGTGCCTTGATGACACCGCCATTGATATCATTTGGCAAATCAATTCCATTTTCTGCCTCAACTCCCAGACACTTCTACCCGTCAATCTCATCCCTGGAGCTCCACCCAATGCCCATGATGGCGTCACCCATGGAACTCTCAGTCTCCCGTAGGGTCCAGCATCGATTCGGGGACCCAGACCCAAAGGATATTTCAGGCTCGACTGAAATCTCCAAAGGAAGTCTGATAATCGACATAGTCCACGAAATGCCTGACGATTCAGAAATTCAGCACGAGCCTAGAATCAGCAGTGAAAACAAGTCCAAGCCAAAAGACCCGTGCCCGATAAAGGGCAAAAACGAATTTTACGAGTTCCTCACGAAATTCGGTAGCAACGTAATGGAAACCGCCTTAAGGTACGAGACGTCGATTCGTACCGATTTAACATCGAGTTACATTAATCCAACGAAGAGATCGTTGGAAAATAAAAATCACGAAAAATCTATCCAATAACAAGAATCCCTTCCAAGATATCTCGCAGTATCCCAAAAATGCAGATTTATTAATCAAAATATAAAATTTTATCAAATTATATTCTTACCTGCCCTATTCGTCTACCAAATTTATTTATCACCTTCCGATCTATTACCAACGACAAAAAATATATATATATACATATTTACAATAAAAAACAATCTCGTTATGGCACTTGCCTTTTATTAAAAACAAATTCGTCATTAATCATAATTACAAACAAATAATGACAGTAGGTATAATTACAAAATACATCGGCCTGCCTTTGCGTGCTGCTGAATCAGTCTTAACCCCCCTCGATTCACCACGAAGTAAAACTCCAGGAGGATTAGAGACGCGTCCTCGAAGATATTCCCCGATCGCGACTGAACCTCCCGGGAAACATAAGATCCCGTCAAATCCATAAGACATACGATAGTACCGAGGTCTTCAGAGAACGATCGTATTTTCAAAGTGGTTAACGCAGGGGGCTAATTTTAAACTATGAGACATGAGAGGTACATTAGTGATGTAGAAATTTACGTAATATAGATCGACTTTTCGTCCCCACAGAACGAAAAATTAAGTGACGACGTTGATATATATATCCATATACATAGATATACAATCGTATATAATATATACACATATGTATCTATGTATGTACGTATTAATCGGCAATTATGACGTAATCACCCGGGGGCATTATTCTTTCTTAAAATAATACATGAGCATATACGTATATAGGTACATGCATATATACTGAATATATTTATACATATACCTAGACGCTCCTAGAAACATAATAATAACAGTTCTCGCAGCTTTTCCTCTTTTTCTCTTATTTAGGGTAGGAGGGACGGGAGGGGGGAGGGGAGGAGGGGGCTAAAGTTCAGCGTCCTCAAAATTCACGGGTCCGACGAACGTATTGCTCGGCGATATGAAAAAATATGACGTTCGTCGTGCGTCCCGGAAAAAAAAAAAAAGTAATATTTCGACACTGATAACGATGAGATCAGTAAACGATGCGACTGACAGAACTTTCGAGCCCTGTAAAGGCGCATCGCGATTAACGTTTGAGCAGTAAAACGGAGTGTTGACGCGCGAGGCACTTTGACGCGATTATTATTGTTATTATTGTTCGACAAAAGCAAAAAAAAGAGGGAAAAGTGCGAAAATTGCGGGAACGCGCAATAAATTTTATCCGCTAGACTCCTTATGGATATGCTGTATGCTATATGGATTTTTTAGCGTGTGTAGAAATCAAAATTTTTTATACATATTTTTTTCTTCCCCATTCCTTTTCGATTAATAAAAAATCAATTCGCGAATGCCTGTCACTTTTTCACAGTGAAAAATGTTATCGCACACAAGAGACTTTTTTCCCATCGAGCCACACTTACGAGAGGCACGATACTGAAATACGCGTTCGCGCGGTGGCTTTATTTTTTTTTTTTTCTTAAAATGAATAAATTTTCTTTTACATATAAAACAATGTAAAAGAATCAAAACCGTAATGACGCTTCGCTTAGGTAATATAACGGTTATTCGTAGACAATAATCCATGACAATGATAATCATAATAGTTCGTAATAATTAATAATAGTGATCGTTATTGAAATATATATATAATTGTTTTTTAAATTATACGTATATAATATATATATATATTTATTTATTTATATAGATTCATGTAGATGTACGTTCCTCTTCTCTTCATATATATAATATTTGTAAATGGCAATTGTCATCTTCATATTTATATACCTCTTCTTCGTCTTCTTTTTTTTTTCTTTTACTTTATGTATTTTACTCGCTTATTTATCCGCTTGTCAGCTTATATCATTCCTCGCGTATATTATTTAGAGACTAGCAATTATGTTTCACTTAGAGACTACGCCGTAATTAGGTAAAACTGCTTTAGGGTCGCGACAGTAATTCTACGCGTTACGATCGATAAATTCATTTACTAAAATATATAGTATTACAGTATTCTGTGATTCGTCAGTAATCTTCATTAAAACGAACGTCTATTGTTAACCAAGCGTACCACGTGGCTTCGCTGTGAAATCGTCCGATCGTCGATCGAACGTTATCGATAAGAGCTGCACGAAGGAGGTGCGATCGCGTGAATTAATTAAAATGCCAAAGAAGACAGGAATGAGCGATAGCGTGACGAATGAGAGTTCGGAGGAATGAAAAAAAAAATAAAATGCATCGTAAAGAAATGCAATCGTTATACGTAATTGGTATTAAAGATAAAAGTCAAGAAAAAGATTTATATATGTATATATATATATATATATATATATATATATATATATATAAATTAAACGCTCGATGCAAAGATCACGTCGATTTCACAATAAGATACGTCCGTACACCCAGGATAAACACGAGGAATCTTGCGAGTGGCTCTTTTCGTGAATCTTGTAAAAGCAATTATTTCTTTTTTTTTCAATTTTCAACAACCGACAAAACGATTCAACCAATCGCTTCGAAGATCCTTCGCGATACGATGCCGGGCGATTCTCGAGCAGGGAAATAAAATGACGTGGGAAAAAGTCATTTCATCAGCCGTCTTACCGTCACTCTATTCCACGCTCGAGTTCGTTTGGCAGTTATTGTACTCTCCTATTTACAATTATTTTTTCGGAAAAAAAAAAATGCGAATACTCGAAAAATCATTTCGTCGATTTTCCGAGTCCGGCCTTAAGGTCGCGTTCTCGCGTAACGACGCTTCTCGCTACAGTCGCAACGTTGATCGCGATCGCTTGTGTAACTATTACCAAAAGGAAATAAAAATTCACAAATTTTTCAAAACACTAGCCCACTGATTAGTCGAGTGAGTTTCACGACGCCTTATCGCAATTTTTCATGTGCGTGTTATTTTCTTAAAGAGGCATCGCGCACTTTTCACATCAGAGTAAACTCTTTTATCAATAGGATTGACGTCCGTTTATATATATATATATATATATATATATATATATATTATACATATATATATTATATTATATATATATGTATGTATATATATTTTTAATTTTGCAATTTCGCTACAAAAATTGAAAAATTTCAGGACCGGAAGGGGATAACACAATTTCGAATGGGAACAATGCGGCTAGTAGGGCTACGCGTTAGCAGAGATGGTTAAGGGGGAATGGATGAAGAAAAATATTTAGTTTTACCAGCGAAATTCGAAATTCGCTTAAATGTTCGTTCACAATGCGGTATTGAAATAGGTAAACGCCGTGACGCGACTTCCGGCGACACGACGCGATTTACTGTTTCATACAAAAATACGATTCTTAAATGGGTAATTATTATAAATTTCGTACTGTCACCCGATGACGTTCTTTTTTTTTTTTGTTATGTCGTTCTGTGCATACGCGTCATCAGCGACGCATCGTTAACCGATACCAAGGTTAACCGTTCGAACGCAATTACTTAAATCTACATACCGATCTACACACACGAATAAACCGCTAAACACTTTGATCGAATCCCTGAAAATTTAATGTGTGGCCGTGTGCATGCGTGGCGGTAAAAAAAATAATTCGTTATGACCTCTCACTCCTGACACGAATTTTCATCCATTCTGTATTGAAATCCGCCCTATAGATTCCTACTTGTATTTTTATAATTCGCGCGTAAGTCCATTCCCGCCGTACATTCTGGTTTTTTTTCTTCTTTTTTTTTCTCGAATTTTACTATCATTGCGAATGATTTATCTCCCACCGACGGAATCTACGGTCTACAGATGATTCTTTTTACTGTTACCATAGGGTGAGACACTGGGCCGCTTTTGCATTAACGATATTTACAAGATTTCGAAAAACTGCATACTTCGTTCGCGCCTCAGTCCTTCGTGAGACGTTTGATAAGATTTTTTCTTATCCTTCTTACTACTTTTTGTTTTTTCTTCTTCATAAAAAATATATCATATCTGCGTTATTTTTAGCTTCGTCGTTTCTTTTTACACGGGACGATAAGAAGGTTTCTAATGAGACGACGTACTTGAGGATCAATCGAACGTACCAGATAATTTTAACTAGCACTGCGCGATGAGAAAATAGCATCTAAATGAATTTTCCTTGACGAATGATTTTTCGTTGATTTTATATTTTATCGGCCGAATAACTCACCCTACCCGTGGCACTGTTACATCACGACGTTAATGCCCTGAATCGTATGATTCGCAAGAATCTTTATTTACTCTAGCCGGCGTGATTCACTGACCGATCCGCGAAATCGTGACCTATTTACAGATAATGGGAAGGTCGAAAATCGCGAGTCGTGTAAAATCGCTTGGAGAATTGCGAGATCGCCTTTACTCGAAAGCTCATAAAGCGTAGGCAGACGAGGAGACATTGACGAGTGTGATTTCACGTGTGTAAAGTGTACCATATTAAAATACAGTTCTTATAACATTTTATTCCTCTTTCTCTCTTCCCCTCTCCTTCACCCTCTCTCTCTCTCTCTCTCTCTCTCTCTCTCTCTCTCCCCCTTTCATCTTCAATTTCATTTCCCATCATCTCGATACCTCTCTTCTATCTTTTGTCATAATCGTCTCTCGTGTCGCATCCTTTGCAACATTAATAATTATTACTTTTGTTTTCGTCAAGTTATCTAAAAATATGTTCTTCTTTTACTTATGTATTTGCATATCGTTTTGCTTCACTTTAATTTTTCTCTCATTTCGATCGCACCTTAGGTTAATTAAATCATCTACGCGATTACAATGATCTACCGTGATATACATATGTATGTATATAATTTTATTCATTTCGAATGAAACGAACGGTTATCGCCACTGTAAACTGGTTTCTCCTTCGATACGTCCAAGAAAGAAAGATTGTGACTTACGGTAGCACCCTTGCGACTATAGGCACGAAACATAAATGTAACGTTATTTCGTATCGAGTGATGCCAACCCTTAAGTTTTCACATATTAAAACCAATGAAAAAGAAAGGAAAAAAAAAGAATCACATCCTACTTTCAAAAGCACTCGCTGAAGACTGTCATCCCCTATTCATCCAATCGTGATGTAATAAATTGATATATCTCTCTCTGTCTCCCTCACCCTGTCTCAAGCTCCTTTTCCAGTAGTTACCTTTATCACTATTCTCATCATTTCTGTCATCATCCTCGTCAAAGGATTTCAAAAACTTAGTTCTTTAAAATTTACTAAAAAAGATCCCTAGATGTCCTTCCATCCTTTGAACCTGTCTCGCGTCACGTGTTCATTCGCTTTCTTTCGTCAATTTTTGTTGTTTACCTATGACGTCATACAAATAAACCTAGCGCAAACACCTTCAGCTACCCGATACACGTTTACACTTTACATGACTATGCTATGGCAACGCTTATTTGTATTATTACGCATTAAATATATATATTTATATATTTATATATATCCGCAGTCATTTTATCGATGTAGCTCTCGGTCCGACGTACGATCGAACTCTCGCCAGATGACTTACCGGAAGTATCTAATTCGGAAGATAACAAAGGGATTGGAAAGAAAAAAGAAAAAAGAATTTCTTCGTTATTCACCAGCTATCCCGACAGTCGTAATACGACACGAATAAAAATATCATATGCGCCCTGTCGTCGAGGTAAACTTCCGTAATGCATGATGGGTAACGATCGCACGCCATCGTAAATCGTTACAATCGAGTCACTGAGGTACACGGAGCAATGGATACTATTTAATCCAGGCTCGTAGACGTTTTCAAAAAAATAAATTGCACCTTCAAAGATAATCGTTATCCGCAGTCTGAGCGTCCTGTGACTTTAGCGTTGCCATCTCTTCGGCCGTCCCACCGTCACCCTCTTGTTCCTCGACGAAATTTATACTTCCCGCCTTGAACCAGACAACCAGGTCCACCAAAAACGCCAGTATCAATATACCACCGGTGGTACCTGTGGGAGTTAACGAAAAATATAATAAATGCCAATAAATTGTGCATCGGCTGGAAAAAAACGATATTTCTTATTGCAATAGCGCTATAAGTTACCGTGATAAAACATCCTGAAGACGTTGGAATCGTAAAGCCAACAGGCGCCGCGTTCGCCGCATGCGTATTCCCAAACGAGGCAGGCAGAGTCCACAACGGCGCCGTAGACGATAGGACAAGGGACGTTACCTAAACGAACGAATTGAAGAAGATCGATAAACCCAAATGCTCTCGACGATGGGATTGGATATTTATGGCCTTGGCGGCTCACTCACCAAACAGCCCAATGGCGAACTGTATGAGTCCCAGGGCCATAGCTTTGTCCCTGGGGTCCACGCACCGTAGAATCAACAGCATCGAGCCCACCTCGCTCGTCGAGTTAATGAACACGAAGACCGAGAACAGGATCATATACACCCAGAAGTTATTGCACTCCAGTGGACAGTAACCGATCGTTGCTGCGCTTATCGTTTCCGGTACCGTCTGATTATTCCCAATGCACTGACAGTCTAAGAACTGAAACAGAACCAAATTGCCCGATACAGTATATCGTCCAGCACTTGAAGATATGGCAACGACCATTCTTTCTTGTATGAGAATAAATAATTTATTTGAAAAAAAAAAAGAAAATATCTTACCGATGAAACTTTTCCATCTATCACAGTATAATTCGAGCATCCTGCGTGACAGGCAGAGAAATACGTCTTCCCGTCGGCTCCACATATTGGACTGAATTTATTTCTATCGCAATCACAGGCCACGTCACAGGTCGGCTCGAAGCTGGATACCCTGGACGGATAAGAGATTCAATTAATAAAGCGACCATTGAAATTGGTCGTTATTAAAAATTTAGGTACCCATTGGAGTGTGACATAAGTCCGGCAAAGTCATCCATGGGACATCCGATGAACATGAGGATTCCCATACCAATGGCGTAGACCACGGCTGTAAATGCGATCCAGGCAGCAACGAATCTTGCGTTCGGTTTTGCTTTCAGGATGAAGAAGCCGCTTATTATGATTCCCAGTCCCATCACCAGAATTCCACCTACACCTGTGCGACAGGAAGACCAAAAAAAAAGAAATGAATGATGGGGGTACCCAACAGTGAACTTCCTTTTACGAATCTGCCAATTTGCGATTCTCGGGAAGTGAGTCACTGGCTGTGGAACGTCAAGCAGTTCCGGAGTTCTGCTGCAATTTGACAATAACTGTCCGTCCCCTCGCGGCGATTCTTTGTATTAAAAAAATGTTCCCCGACAATACCCGGCTTGATTCGATGGTCTGCTCTCTACGATTCACGACTATTCGAGCTCTACTATTATTCATTTATTTATCTTATTTCTTTACCTGAAATCATATTCGCGTGGTGCGCTGGCAAACGGAATTGACTCTCCAGATATTTCGGTAGGAAGGTGTACAGCCCGGCTATTGGCAATATGTGCAAAACGCTGCTGGCTGTACGAAACATCAGTATATCGTTCTTCAACAATCTCTTGACAGCTTTCGGGAAATCTGCAACAATTTCATTGGAACGTTCATTCGCTAATTTTAACATGAATTTCGTCGTATTTTCATCGGACGACGGAAAAAGCGATGATCGAATAAGCTCTTTTCTGAAATACATGACCTCGTCAACGTCGTACACTGCCCCTCGGCAATCCATATACATATATATACATATATAAACCCCATGCGCACACAGTCCACCTTCGTCACGTGCTCGATACCATAAATCCTACAGTTACAAGATTTTATAAGTATCCATAAAATTTCACTATAAAAAGTGACTCCGAGCGAATCAACAATCTCGAGAGCCCACGTATCGGCAGAATATCAAAATTTACAGTGTGAATAAAGGAAAAAAAAAATCCAATAAAACAAGATCATCGTTTCCAAGAATGGATACCGGGTACACTAAAGTAGTCTCTACTGGTATGAAAAAAAAATTAAAAAATCCATGATTTACTCCTCCACTAAAATTATTCTATAATAACATTCCAATCTCTCATCGACCAGATAAACTGGAGTGAACTATAATAAAAGTCAAATATTAAAATAGAAGTTATAACGCGCCTGTAACATATACGTCCCCTAAGACCATGGTTAGAAAAACGTGACCCCCATCGTGTGCCACGTATTACCACATAAAGTCCACCGACCAAATCTATAGGGTGACCGGTTAAAAATTTCAAACAATCCCATAGAATACAAACGACCCTCGACTAGTGCAATCGTCGATAAAAGCCGTGACAAACCGAAAGAAAGATTAAATAGAAAAATGGCAAAAGGCAATGGAACGACCCCATGCATTTCGACATTCCCATCGCGTTTTCGTAAACATGTTTTGTCAGATAGTCCCTGTATCGTATACAGCCAGAGAAGTGGACTCCCGAGAAATGATCAATGATTCACGAGCAGGTCGCGTCGGCGTCCACCTCCCGCCCCCTCGCCCGTCCCCCAAACAGCTTCGAATAAATGAAACCGTGCCCAAAATGCGGCGTCGTTAAATTAAAAAAAAAAAAAAAAGAAAATAGAATTCAATGAAAAAAAAAACCCCTAAGCACTCCCCGAAAGACCGCAGACGAATAATAATCGCACACGATCGACTCGATTATACAATTAGTTACAAGGAGTGTACAGGGTGAGCCATTAACATTGGTACCAGACGCGAATACGATTATGCTATCAAATTGAATCGCACGTTACTATTTTCGACGCGTCGTAACGCTCGCGGATACTTGGATTTATCGGAGGAGCGAATGTGAAACTCCGATACGTATATACGGTAGACGAACGAGTTATGTATCGGCGGTGCGAGCGAACGCGACGTTGCTGTTGTGTTGTGCTATGTTGCGTTATGTTGTGTTATGTCGGCCGAGGTGTACGAGACAGCTGAGATAGGTCTCCCCCACACGCGTGTCCTCCGGTTCTATATGCATGATATGACCGTGAACTTGCCCCACCTCGTACACGAGTCGGTCAGTCATTATTATTAACACACACTGTACCTACTGGTAACGTACGCGCTATATCTATATACATCGGTATAACCGCATACATCTGAATCAACTGTGAAGGAACCGTCTACCGTATAAAATGAACGGGCAGCGTTTGGCTGAATTTAAAAGTGAAATTTTTTTATATTACAAATATATGTATATCTATTGGAGTGACGTCAAACATGGATACGATAATCAATTCCCACATGGCGACCGTGTTTACGCGTGTAGTTGAGAATTTTTAATCGATGCCATACATTGTTTATTGACTTTTTATCACTTTGACACTGATATACGGAGGACTTTGTAATAACGTTTAACGTCAGCGCAGCGAGACGTCATTACGACGTATTCCTAGACGCTCCCCAAAAGACACGGTAACGTCCTTGATGTCATGGAGTCTTCTTGATCGGCTGCGTCGGCCTTTTATGTGCCCACGGTGCTGTTGTCTCTTCTTGTATTTGTCTCTCACTCTCCCTTTCTCTCTCTCTCTCTCTCTCTCTCTCCTTCTCATTGTTGCTTCTTAAGGTCTAGATGCATATTATGTTAATGGCATAATTGTATTTGTCTCTCACTCTCCCTTTCACGGTAACGTCCTTGATGTCATGGAGTCTTCTTGATCGGCTGCGTCGGCCTTTTATGTGCCCACGGTGCTGTTGTCTCTTCTTGTATTTGTCTCTCACTCTCCCTTTCTCTCTCTCTCTCTCTCTCTCTCTCCTTCTCATTGTTGCTTCTTAAGGTCTAGATGCATATTATGTTAATGGCATAAATTGTATTTCACGGCACAGTGACATTACAGGGGAAGACGTCGTGCCTGTAACTTTCAGTTAAATCTTACTCCGATCTAACCTATGGAAAACTCACCGCGCAGACTCGGCTTCTTCGAGTCGTCCCGTTTAGGTGGCGTCCTGCTTGTCGGTAATCGCGTTGGAAACGCGAACATGCCTATGCTGACGAGCATTAGCAATGCGGATATTAGCACCAAACCTGAGAAAAATAAAATTATATTGTTAACACACACGTGAGACAGTAGTGCATATATACAGTGTGACGTTTGGTTGGGTATTTATGACATGGAAAATACATCCTCATGCCTTGTATATATATATTTTTGTAACTAAAACAGTTGTTTGGCAAAAATTCAACTGACGTCCACGAGAGTTTTCCTGTTAAGAAAAAGGAAAAGGAAAAAAGCGGAAAAACAAGAAAGAGTTTAATCGCTCCCAAGACTGACTTCAGTCTTTGAACAGATTTTTCTGTTTGATTGCTTGAAAAATTTAAGTAGCATGAAATTTGCAAGCCTGAGAGAGCCGTGAAGAAATCATTGTTATCTCTTGGAATTCAGTGAGACGATAATAATACACTCAACTCTGAAGGATTTCCTGTTAAAGGAGTAACGCTGTTATAGTCATGACGCGTTTCTATATCGCGGTGAGCAGTTAGAGAAAGAAGCCCGGGAACGTCGGAATGGCGACGATGGAAATCGCAGACTTGGTAACGAGTCGTCTCGCGTTCCAAGGAGAGAACGTAGCGCGGCAACAAGATGTTGGTAAATTATTTTTATGTCGTCGGACGTTCTCGCTGTCAAAACGTTCGCCCTAAATAATTCTGACAAGTTGCGTGTACGCCCGCTGAGAAACGTCGTGCTATTGCCGCGGCAAAGAAACTCAAAGACAAGACGCGTTTGTACCGCGAGAAAAGCATAGGGAATCGTCTTTTGGTACAGACGGTACTCGTTATATATTCTTTCTTATTATTTTTGTAACATCTTCCGAGCAAAGAAAGAAACTTCCGGGCCTCCTTTCCTCTAGGGATTTACGAATCGCCGCGACTCGCTCCTTGAACTCTTTCGATGGTCATGTACACACTGACTCCACACGTACAGCAGGATCAGCTGTTTCATTTCTTCGTAATTCCTCATCCTCAGATCTTTTTTCTTGCACATTCCCCTTTATCTTCCTATTGCACTCACCGAGCCACCACGCTCCCACCCATCTTGGATCGGTCGGTGTGATTTGCGGATCGGCTGATAAATCAGCGTAAAGCCTTGTGCACATGGAACCCAGGATGAAGCCCAAGGCTGGACCGAGTATCCTTACGCCGATCGTTATTGCTGGAAATAAAGGAACAGCCGGTTAAGAATCGGTTCTCTTAAATCGATAAAAATAATAACGGAGTAGCTCAAAGAGTAGGTGAAATTTAATTATAAAAGACTTGCCGAAATACAGAGGACTTTCTCTGCTAGCTACGTTGTCATCTATGTAAGGAATCCCGAGGGTGTAAACGGCAGTTTGTCCCATGCCGACGCCAAGTAAGGAGACGAAGAAAATGGCAAGGACCACGTTGGTGATTTTGTTCTGTATTCTTTGCTCCTTCAGGAAGTCGCCCTCGCAGTAAGCCGTCGAATCGGTATTGAAGCGAGGGGTGGACGTGGAAAAGAATAAACTGTAAGATCAGACGTTATCTAAGATTAGCTTAATATTGCAAGACATAGAATCCCGTTTGTACATATAAATATACGTACTCCCTGATATCAGACGTGTTAGCAGCACCCTCCTTGTACTTGCAGAGATTCGCCGGGATGGGATCCGAAGCGTTGGGACCGCTTCCATCAGAGCCTGGACCAACTCCACTGAAGAGGAGTTCATTCTGGTGAATGAGTTGTTCGCCGAAAATGAAATGAGGCATCGAGCAAGAGAATGAGCTCACGGCAAATAGTATCATCCCCCAAGCGATCCACTTTGGCCTGTGACCTTGTCCACCGTAGTACGTTAATAGCAACGACGAACCGATCTGACCGATCTCCGTAGCCGACATTATGATTCCCGTAGTCTTTGACTGGATTTGGAACAGCTTCTCGATGGTCGTAATCACTGACACGAAGTACGTGTAATACATGCCTTGAAGAACCTGATGGAAAAATAGTGGTATCAAAGAGGTGTCGGATAATAATTTTACAGTGAAAATAATTTTTGCAAAAATTAAAAAGACCAACCCAAGTTATGCAGAAGGTCACGAGGAAGGCCTGTTTCGTCGCAAAGAATTGCATCCAGTGGGGTCTGCAGGGACCCCAACCGCAGGATATATCAGCATCGTCGAATTCCGTATGCAGGCTGCTGGACTTTTCGTCGACTCCGATAAGTTTTCCATTTTCTACGTTAATGTCAATAGTCTTGCCGTTCGGTATGGATCCATTGTTGTTATGTTTGTTGAACAGTATCTCATTGCCGTTAGCCATCTTCTCGTGAGGCTGTATGATAGTGAGTGTATCTACGGTACCATTGGCAAGCATTTGCGTGTCCTCGCCAGCCATCTTCGGACCCAAATCGCCGGATGCTGGCCGCTCCGAAATGTATTCTTTGCCGTACCGATTTTTCTTTTCCCGTCGTCAGTTAGCAATCGGTACAAGCGTGACTGGACGCACCGGGCCGATTCTCGTTTAGCCTGAAACAAAGCGAAAAAAAAAAATGAAAAAGATGAAAGGGGAGACGAAGAAACGGGCTCCGTGTGAATGAACTATCTAAAAAAAAAGTCAGGGACCTGGCAGTCAACTCCACATTCAGATTGGAGTTCGACGAAACTGGAAATGGCCAAATTCCAAAGTCTTCCCAAATGAAATTCCCTCTTGCCCATAAGCCCATCCCCCACTGTCTCCCCGAAAAAAAAAAGTTTACCCAAAGAAATCGCGTGTCTCGAACAGACGTTACCATACCGATCTTCTACCCGATTGAGATGAATCACGCGATCCGGAACACCCAGTAGGTAGCCCCATGGATGATCCTCTCACTTTCGTTACGTATCGCCCGACTTTCCTCCTTTCCTTCAGATTCCGTTGCTATCCGAACTCTCGTTGCGCTACGAAATTTCATCGGATCCCGCGACTCCAGCGCACCTTCACGATTATTAAGATCTCTCATTGTCAACAGAGACACGTGCCTTCCAAAAATTGCCTGTCACCCACAAGCAATATGTCCGTCCCTGTTCGACCACGTGCGTCTAAGAGAAAGAAAAGAACTCAGAGAGAGCACTGAGAATCATTTCCAATACATGCGGACAAGCATACGAAATACGTCACACGGCGTACGGAGTATTCCTCAAGTATCGACACGATCCAGCTGGGAAAACCCACAGGGTCAAATTGAAGCACGATATAGTAATACCTAGGCTCCTAGACGTTCTATCTGCTTGACAAAACGAAATCGAAAGGACGTTAAATCCGTCGAAAGATTTTCTGCCGAGTCAGAGTCCGCGGGGAGCAGCTGTCTTGGCCCGAGAACCCGCAGGCGTTTCTCTGCTGTGTCGAAACCCGACTGTTCCGTTGGATTTATAATTTTTCGTTTTTTTGCCCGGCATCGGGGTCTCGACCCAGGCTGGTAAGCAATGCGATTAGAAATGAGTAAAAATATAATGATAATGCGTATTAAAAAATTGCCTCACAAAAATAATATCCCAAGCCAATTAAATTCTCGTTATCGATAACGCACGTTAGTCATATTTTTACAAGATCTTACTAACCATCGAAGACAATGAGAATCCAATCGCCATGGTATTCAATCATCTGCCTCGTTAGACCCTAATAATAAATCCGCGCACCCATTTTGTCCGACTTGCCCCGAGCTATCTACTCCCGTGATACGTGCGTAGACGCACCGGTGCATAAATATCAAACTACCTGGAACATATACGTACTCGGTACAGTGGGTGGGATGTGAGCGCTCTTAACTTCAGCCAGTGATGGAGACTTGGTCTAGGTCGCCTTTCACTGTCCTACTGACGTCTCGTGGTTAGTTGGTTAGTTAGCCTATTCTGCCAGCTATGCACCTCAATGCCAGCGTGTAGCACGTTGTCGTACAGGACGATCCAAAAGAAGGCAAACCCGACTGTCCCGATAACAGTATTGATTATTAATCGGATCGTATCGGAGTATCGTATCGTTTTCGGAACCCATCGAAGGCTGTGGAATCGTTTTGATGCGAACTGTCGATCATATATAAAAAACATAGTCTATATATATATATACACATAAATATCCCTCTTAAGGCTACCAACCGAAAATATACAAATCTCAGATGTATTTTCAAGATCGCCAATATAAGAAACGCATGCCAGGAGGTGACTTCCTAGTTTTTTTTTTCCCCGTAAAGTACAACCAGTAAATTTGCCTCGAAGCGTAACGATCCTGAGAGCAAGACGAAGTAGGGACAGGAGGGGGAGAGGAGGTGGTTAATGCGATATTGAAATTAATCAGATATATAAAAAAAAAGCAGGATTAAATTTGGTCCGCGGGTAAAGCTAGTTTTTACTGTGTTTAAAATCATCAAATATTGTATGCATTCATATATATATATATAAAAGTCCGGAGGACATTAATTATAATACGAGCGACAAGAACGTCCTGAAAAAGGTAATTGACTGTGAAAGGATGAGGGGAATGGAGGCTGATAAAAAAAAATCACAGCGGATAGAAAACTTGTCTCAGACTCTCGATTCCGACAGCAGCGAAGGTCGCGAGTGATAGTTTCGCTCCAGGGCGCCTATCGACTTGTATTTGGGATAAAGCGGCTGCTTGCGTAACCATCGTCAACATACAATGACTATAGGGAGGTCGATACTGAAATTGATTCGTCTTGACCGATTCCTCCAGCCTGAGAGGGTACTAGCTAAACGTCATTATGTATTCACGTGTACGCACTGAACGTCCGTAGGTTCAGGTTGCACGTGGGCCGGCCGGAGTATCTGCGTGGTAACACGCGAGGAGCGTAGGAGTTCAATTGGGAATTTCGAGACTTGACAGAATGGCGAAATCACGATGGGACTTCCGGTTCGCGTGCGACTATAATCTACGACGTCGAAAGAGTCAAAGTTTTTATTTTTTATTTTTTGCGAATCCAAAATTTTTTGTTCCCTCTACTAATTTACTCCCCGTCGAGATAATGACGACGATAATGTAGTTAGTTTTACGTAATTTAATGGGGCCCACGCCGCATGAGTTACGCGTTTTTACGTAGCATAATTTGTACTGCGGCCTCGAGGGCTTTCGTGTATACGTATATATAGATTTTGTATGTATATATATATATATATAATAGGATACCGGGGACAACGTGCGTATACCAGGAGGATACGTTTTATTGCGCACAATACGCCTATTTTTTGTCTCGATCCTTTCTAATGGGTATTGTAAAGCGAAGCCATCGCATCCAAGGATTTTCGGTCTGTACGTAGGAAAAAAAGAAACCCAGCAGAGTCCGCAACACGTTATTTTGGTTCGCGACTGCTCCTGTTTCTCCTCCTAGGACAGGGCCGTGCCCGGGGGAGTGCGTTCCCGCGGATATCTTCGGAACAGGAAGTGGCCCAGGGAGGGATCTGATAATGGTGCCCCGGGCAAGGATGACGTAGGCGCGAGGACGATCGCGTGAAATCGTATGACGTTACCCGTTATATATGCCGTTAACGTCCCCCGATTACGTTGTCAAAGGTAATATCCTCGTAATTCCCCGAACGATTCGTCTTTCGAGAATGCGCATTCCGAGGACAGATATTGAAAAGGGTGTCTGGTGCAACGTCAAGGCTTCATAGGCGTATATACGTATACAGGGGAATAACAATGCCGGGACTTTTGCGACCCTGGTTCTCAGGAGGTCTGGGCTCTATAGAAAGAGCGGCGTCGAGGAACTCTGCACGGCTCGTTTATTCGTCTAGATCGTCATTCTTTTTATTCGATTTTCGAAATTCCTTTTACTTCTCACACCGCCCGAGTCCCCTGCGTCCTGGCTCGATCCAGCGCTGAACCTGCCCGCCGCCACTCACGACTGACTCGGGGGACTCCGGACGGGGTCCCGGCAGTCGGGGACTGGAATTACTAGTTTTGCATTGAATTAATCTTAGATAGGTCCGGCTTCAGTCGGTTTAGGAAGGTGAATTAACCGAAACGGGCAACGGGAGAGATAGTTTCTTATTTTTCACCCTGTAGATCGTCCCGTGCCAATGTACGAGGGACACGACAAGAAATTTGAAGGAAAACGATACGTTGGGTCTGAGCTTGTGAAATCTCTATCATCCCTTTAAAAAAAATCCTCCGTAATTCCTTTCGCGCGACGTACTGTAAAAAAATGTATTTTTCAGTATTGATATTGAAAAAAAAAATTTGTTTAATCTGCCAATCTTCCGATCGAAAATCGCAGCGGCGTCGTTAACGTGTGGATTCGCCAGCAGAATACAACGCGTGTGTTGGTATATGTACCATTAATTTATGTAGGCATTCGGTATTATAGCTGTGTCGGGCTCCTTCGTTCGGATTGACATTGGGGACAAGGCGGACTTCCACTCGACTGCAACAGCGGCAGTGCTCGCGGACATTTCTCGCTAAAATCCCGCTAATTTATTGCCGCTAATAAACTGTAACGCAGAAACGTTCGCGCGACACGCGGAACGTCCGCCGACGCCGGAGCAGCGCCGATACGGACTTCGGTATTCTCGCACCTTGCTGGGCGCGGCCGAAACTTTTATTAATGTCATTCGCCGGGGCCGTCGACCATATTCCGTCGTTCTTCTCGGCCGAGCACATTGCCATTGTGACATTTCCATTCGTTGCGAGAATTGCAAATGCCCGCAGGCCGCCGGCTTCGCGCACGGCGTCCCGAGCTGCTGCACGCGCTACCACGATTACGTTGATAAATATGGGTATATGTGTCAAAACATATATAACGCGCATATACGTATTTATTGTTGATACTGCGGCGAAAAAAAGAATTTCTCGGGGCAATTCAGGACGTTAAGCTGCGCATCCAACGAGCGAATAAATCGATTCGTGTGCGCTACCGGGGAGACGGGAAACCTGCGGGCGTGTTTTCAACCCGGCGACGAGTGGTACCCGAACCGCCTTTCTCGTAATTTCAGGTGTCGGTACGTGGAAACGCGACACGTGATAGCGCGGGACGATGATAAAATTATGACTTGACGCTTTTGTCCGTTATTATTATTTTTATTTCTTTTTCCACTTCCCTCTCCCACTGTTCGTCTGTCTCTGTGGGTTTTCAATTGTATGGATTATTTTTTGGACAGCCTACTTGTTCCTCCCATTTTTTTTATTCAGTCACGGTGACACATCGGGACGACTTTTGGATTGGGTATGGACCGATATCCGTATACAGAGAGAAACGTGCAATTTTAAGACACCCGTGACGTAACGCTCGCCCGTAACAATGTACAGTCACGTTTCCAATCGGCGACAGTCGCGGCTCTCCGAAGGACTTTACGAAAATTCGTGTCCGATCGTAAATTAAAAAAGCGACGTATTCATTGAGACTTCGTGACGTCACTTACCGACTACTTTTACCAGGTCGTCCTGCCAATTCATACGAACTTCCGGTTGAATGATCCTGTCAGGTTCACTGCCCTACCTCCGACCTCTACCATGTACCATGGATAGCAGCGTCCTCTCTGAAAAAAAAAATAATAACAATATTTTTTAATTGTCAAACCCCTGAACCTTCTTACTTAACAATAATTACGAAATTACCTAATTAATGAAAAAAAAAATATCGCGCCGTTCATATGTTACAAATTTAACACCTGTATGAATCTCGATGAGTTTGGTGTCAATGATAAAAAATTTACACCCCTGGAACGCAGCATCCCACCGCCCAGCTGTACCTGAGAAAATTAACTTATCGCGTACTAAAGCTCAGTTCACATTTAACCGCGTGCCGCGTACCCACGTGGCGCGTGCGCGTCACGCGAGTGCATAATATATAGGTCGTCACTCTCCCACGAGTGATAAAACCCAAATGAAATTGATGTTCATCAATTGTATCTTAAGGCCTCGTACACAAGAGCAAGATCGTGAAGCGCGGTAAGATATTCCTCGAGGTAAGCCGAAGCGCTACCTCAGGGTACCTCGAGCCTCAGGTACCCGTGCACCAAGTATTATCTTGTACATGCCAGGCCGTTGTAATAATAGATAGAATTCATAGCGAGGCCCCGTACCGCAAATTATGGATAATCGTAGTCGCTATCGGCATTATCTTTTTTGCTAAATAATACACCAGGCCTACATATTCCCACGTAGTACAATGGAGTACGTAGGTCGGGTAAAGCAGCAGGTACTAAATTTAATTTTTCTACGCAACTGTTGCAAATAAAATTTACCAGCGATAAGCTATTTTCCCTCAAATGGTTAATCCGACCAAAAAATATTGATGCATACTCTCAGCTTTGAAAAAGCCTTGAGTGAGTCTCTCTAGAAAACAAATCAATAAAAATCAATCAATAAAATTCCCACCCTGGCCATTTCCCACTGACCCACGCAGATAACAGATACCCAGCCACCCGGTCGTGCATGCCGTAGCGACTGGACCAAAAATCTCTTCTTGCTCAACCCACATAAAAGATCCGAATCCGTCGCACGATAAACAAGGAGCCCCAGGGAATACCAAAGAAATTGCGTAAACTACTCATAGAAGCCGAATTTACGAAAGCGTGCACGTAAGATTACGAAAAGAGTACAGTGGCGACACCAGGGCGGCAGACGAGAGAACTAAGAGTGACAGACGTTCCTACCTAAAACAAAATCAAGATTTCAATTCGCATCCTGCGTCCACAAGCGAATAGCGCATAGCTGTCATAACAACACCAGGGAGAGACACACGTGGCGTCCACAAGTCCCTAAGAGGTTGGACATGTCCGGACACGTGCTCTGGCCACGGCGTAAAAGCAATCTCCCTCGAGTCCTTCCGAGGCTGAAATTTACGAGCGGCCGAGTGATCCTCGAGCAGCGACTGCAAGTAAGTCTAACGCTACTATTTTATTATCCTAAGCCTGGCTAGTTAAATGCGCAATAAGTGTTACAGATATCTCGGCGTAGCTGCACTGCAAAAGGTGCACTAAAGATTGCACGAGGCAAGTGAATAGATACCGTGAGTAAGTCTAGTATATGCACCTGGATTTCTCCAACACACGTGCCACCGTAGGTACGATCTAATCAACTTGTCACGTTAACACGCGTCCGTGTATTTATATATCGACAAGTCAAACACTTAAAATTCTCATCTCTCTGGCCTATCTCGATTCTACCCTATTCATTCGTTATACAAACACTCTCTCTCCCTCTCTCTCTCTCTTTCTCTCCGTCTCTCTCCCTCTCTCTCTCTCTCTCTCTCTCTCGTACTCGTCACTTTTATTAATGGACTTTCCCTCTCTCTCTCTCTTTCTCTCCGTCTCTCTTTCTCTCCGTCTCTCTCCCTCTCTCTCTCTCTTTCTCTCCGTCTCTCTCCCTCTCTCTCTCTCTTTCTCTCCGTCTCTCTCCCTCTCTCTCTCTCTTTCTCTCCGTCTCTCTCCCTCTCTCTCTCTCTCTCTCTCTCTCTCGTACTCGTCACTTTTATTAATGGACTTTCAGTCATGCACGACATGCAGACACGCACGCTGCACTATATACGTAATACCTATCTCTATATCAATACAAAGCCATGCACAGAACGGCCATTCGCTATACGCAATGAATTGACCTAGGCAGACCCGTCCGTTTCGAGCATAAGCGCCGGCTGACTCGCTGACGTCACACGAGGACGTCGTCAATTGGGACGAATACAGGCGTCGCGACGCCTCGGCATTGGCTCGTCGCAAATATACGAGAAGCTCGTAACCCCGTCGGATGCCAAAGTGCCATAGATATATATATAAAAGACACGACGTCGTTCAGCGTGCATAGTTCAAAGATAGGTGCAAGTCTGTACGCGTCAACGTCTCCTACAATGTACGTGCATGGAGCGTGCGAATAATGGTAACGGCCTACTGTTGCACACACGTGCACTACCCATTGAGACCTGACCTACTTCAAGGCCCAACCCGCTGCTGCCCGTACAACCCCCGCGAAATATATACTTCGTCGATGATATCGATACGGCCATTATCATTATTATTATACCAGGTACCCCTCGAGTTTTCAGCATTCGAAATCTTGGGTTACGTAATCTTCGATTTATACAAAAATCATTCCCATACTATCGCGATAATATCCTTCGGTCGTACGTGCTTCGAGTCTGGTACCTACTCCACCTTCTTTTTTTCTCGCCTCTTAAAATTAATGGCAATGCACTGGGAGTTCGGGAGTTTGTCTACCGCTCTAAGTGAAACCGACTGTAAGGAGGAAATATTCGCGAGGTTATGCCGAGAATTTATGCCGAGGACTAACTCGAGTGCATTCTCGTTCGGCGTGGGATGCGCCACGGTACTCGAGATAAACGTTGCTATCGGGATGATGGTTATTGTTGTCATTATTATTATCCACGAAATTATTTGAATTGTGAATGAAAGTGACTGGTAAGAAGACTATAGGGGGGGGGG